ACAATCTTGACTTTATTCGCACCCTTGATGAAATGAACCTTCTCATTGAGTGATACAAAATGGATAAGTTTATTTGGGATGTCACCTTTTTTAATTGAAAGTCTGCTGAGGATATCATTGGGCAGAAAATGAGTTACTCTTCATCATGAAATCAATTTTAAGTCATATTGGTTAAGACTTTTTAATTAGGAGCTACCAAGTTGGTACACTCTTTTTAATACGCACTATATGACGTTTGCAAAAGTAGAAAACATTATACTTCCATAAAGATTCATACACAGCATATGAAACTCATAGGTTATACATGTTTTCATATTAATTCAAAGAAAGTTGCTTTTTTCCAAATGACATTTAGATCTTCGTCATAATTTGCACGTAATCATGCATTGCTATTTATCTTCAGCAGACGGACATTCAAAGGAAAAGTGTTTTAAAATCATTATACATGTACCGTACGTCCAGTCTGTCCTGATTATGTAATCGTGTTTGCAATCCTCGATATCCATCAATGATCTCTCTTTCAAGCATTCCAAGTAACCGAAGCCTATGTCGTTTCTCGGTCTATTACACACAGATCAGTCAATATTTATGGTAACCAATCAATCGATATGACCCTGGTATGACCCGTTATAATGTCCATTATCGCCAAATAACCAACTGGCTAACTTCACCAACTCTCAATATTAATTGATCGTTCGGGAATTTTTTTGTCGGTCTGTTTTCGGTCTGTAACGGTCTGATTGGTGTGACTATATGGATGCTAATACCGACAAAGACGGACAACAGAACGAAAGTAATACATTACGTCAAGAATAGGTTGGTTTGAAGTCGCTCCAGGATTACATTATTGTGTGACTTTACTAGAGTTACTAGATATCGATATGTGGGTTAAAAAAGAAGAAGAAAAGATTAAGAAATCATATTCGGCTACGTACTGCATGCAGAGCGGGTCCAGGGTTGTCAGAAGGGGCCCCGGCAGGGGAAAGTAAAAACAATGAACGTTAATTGACCCGGATTACATTTGTAAACTACAAAGGCGCGTATGCCACCGTTTTCGAGGAAGACATTTGGCGAAATACCCCCCCCCCCAAAAAAAAAAACGAACGGAAAGACTTTCGAAATAGTCAATACTTTGTTGTAAAACCCTACATCCTATACACCCTACAGTTTCGGATAACGTAATACATGTACGTCATTGTCATTTTCAGACATTTCAAAACGTGATGAACACCTGAAAGGCTATCGGTGTAATCAATTAAGTTGATTTTTCGGAAGTCAACCGATTGCGTTATAGATTCTTGTCCGTCATTGTGAAATGCAAATTATTGAGTAAAATACCCCGAACATCTTTAAAAATAACATTTTTGTTATAAATGGAATTGTTTTATTGTTTTCATTGTTTTACTGCTGGCATCCACTGTTTCATTCATCTTGTATAAATAAATATATCTAATAATCCAATTGAAATCAATTTAATAATCGCTGCATGACATTATGTTTTGATGTATGAAGCCACGTTCTACTTTTTTGTTGTAATTGAACTAACATAAAACAATTATGTAAATGTACAATTTATAACCCTATTTCATCTTTTCTTGTATTTCTACTGTAAATATGACAATATTAGTCTCCAGACTTTTGCCATGTTCTTTTTTTTAAACAATAAAACCATAATTGAATGGAATTGATATTGTTGGCAAAAGAAGCGAAAGTCTACAAAACAGACGGCATGCGAGACCGACAGCCCACGAGGTAGACGATGTCGGTCTCAAGGGCTTTCTGAAACGTTATTTGAAGGTTCCTGAGAACGATGGCCTTCATGATCGACCAACATGTTTAGTCTTTAATTAAGGGCTGCGTGGCGGTCTACCGGGATGTCGTGGTCTGATCTAAATTGAATGTTTCCATTATAAAGTGGTGTAAGATGTGGTAGCAGAATAACATTTGCTTATGAAAATTTGCGTCATTTCATTGTAAATGCGGCATTTAATCCTATGGATATTTCTAATGATATGCGCTGAAGTTTTAAACGCAAATTCAATTGTTGTTGGGGGAAATGGTGATATGGTTATTTTTAATATAGTCAATGATTAAGATCTAAAGCAAGATCTTTCATTCCCATTTTTTATTGCACACTAAAACCCCATTTCTATTTATTATTTCTTTACGACCTGCAATTTCATACTGAAGTCCACGTAAAACTTGAGATAATGAAAAATGAACTTATTGACGGATGTATTTTATTTCATTTCAGCGATTTATTCATAAAGGATTATTTAAGTCATTTATCACACGAGCACTCTACATTAAATCATCTTGCTAATGTACATACAATATATTACATGAAAAATAAAATAGTTTCCAAAAATTTACAACATATTATATATTTTTAAGACTTAAAGACATAGATTGGCATTTTTACTATAGCAATATGTATAAGGATTCTTCTTCACCCAGTAAAGTGCATGTTTTCACACCACAAACTTTGGTGAAAATTGCATTTGCTGCATGTCAGTTTCCTAATGGGCAACTTTAGCCTTGAACCAAACAGGATACCTAGCCTTACCCTTAACCTACGGTCCAATTGTAACGTAAATCTTTGACAAAAATAAAGCCTAGAACAAATGCTGAATCATGAAAGTGCATGCTGACTTTTCTTTGCAAAAATGGCAATTACATGTATCTACAAAATCAAATAAGCCTGTGATTCTGAAATCTGGAGTAAATATCCTTTTCTAGCTTGTCACCAAATATAGATGCATATATTTCTATTCACATTTTCCAATTTTTTATTTTTATTTTTTATAAACACACTTGCTGTTCATGAACCTACAGGAACTGCCTTTACAAAATGTGTAAAAAAAAATCACAAAGTAAACTTCATTCTTAAAATCCTAAAACACACAAAAAGGATTATCATGGTATTTTCTGTGGTCAGATCAATATCTTTTGAAAGAGTATTTCTTACACCAATTCACTGTTAAATATTTGGCAAAAATTATTTCTAAATCCAGACATTGATGTGTAGTGTCAAACAACTACAGAGAATTTGATGTCACAGTAATGCTATTACTATACTACTACTACTACTACTACTACTATTAGAAAGACAGCAACTACTACTACTACTACTTCTACTACTAATAATAACACTAATAACAATAATCTTAATAACAACAATAATAATAATAATATGCTCATAACATTCATAGAACTCCTTCCTTCCAATACCCATATAACACCTGGGTTGAGAGTGGCAAATGTAGATTACTGTCTTGCCAAAGGACACTACCGGAAGTTCCTAGCCCCTGACCTTTGTATCTCTAGTAAAGTGTTTCAACCATTTGAATATGACACATCTACATCTCCATTTTTCTCCAGTCAGCTCTGCAAACACAGAATCGGGTTAGGTATATGAAATTAAATACCCACCACTTTCAAACAATTTGGGTCATTCCATGGGGTTGGGGGTAATTTCTGTGACATACCAGAAGTATGGGGCGTTGCAAGAAAGTTGCGATTGATTTGCAACTTGCAACTGATATTTGCAATCGATTGCAACTCAACTTTCTTGCAATGCCCCACCACTCTCCTACATTTCCTAGGATTTTGTTAGGATTAAAGTTTTAACAATTAAATTAAGTTAACTAAATCTAGCCTTTTTACTACCCCCCCCCCCCCCCCTACCCGCTCTCTCTCTCTCTCTCTCTCTCTTCTTATTAATGAGTTGCAAGAAAGTCGAGTTGCGATCAATTGCAAATTTGCAGTTCATCGCAAGACTTACGCTTGATTTGGGGATTTGCAATTGATTGCAACTTTCTTGCAACGCCCCATATGTCTCCTATTAACCATAACGTTTGCTCAACTAAATTTAGAAGTACTCCAGCTTCATGGTGAATCAATATTATAGACCCAACATTTATGCAATCTTTCATAAATGTGATGTCCATGAGAGTACTACTATATTGCATACAAATCTTTAACAGATGATTTCTTCTTTCTTGTGTAGTAGAAGATCTCATACTAACATTATATGGACGTTGTCATATTTTGGGGTCCCAACCTCATAAAAAGCCCCATTTGGCAACATGTCCCTGTCTGTTATATTGATAAAATACTTGTATATCTATAACATACATATACCTACCTCAAGTAAGGCTGAACAGCTAAACAAATCAATTCACATGATCAAACAACTAAATGGACAGTATTATTGCGAATAATTGTATCATGACATTATCGAAGTACAAATGTTTCAATAAAAAATATTTCACAACTTGCTTTAAGTCTTAAGATTAACAGTAATCCAGGTGCCATTGACCCTTATTAATCCTGCCATGGACCTCAAAGTCCTGCCCTTGTGGCTTGGGTGGCAACTAAAAAGTGTCCTCATTTGAATTTTTTTCTCAACATTTCTGAGCAGTTCACCATTAATTAATGGCTACAAAAGTTGAAAGTTGTCTGAGGCTAGCAACCCAATTAAAAGAAATTAGAGAAATAGTTGTGATTAAAGGTAATACAAAGTTTTGGTAAATTTTGAAAATTGGGTGGATAGTGATTCTTAACAATTTTGATATATTTGGATGCCCCTGTGGATGTATTATAAGCACTAAAAAAATTAGCCCATAAAACACTTCTGCTTTCGAGAAAAATTGAATATAAAAATTACCGGTGCTCCCGGTAAATTGTGATAAACTTCAAATAGCGTACAGTGGTAGCTGCGACCATGAAACTCTCAGAATATGTAGATGTGATATATAATTTTCAAACGGGAATAGCTAATCGGTCGATTTTAGTCAAGAAACATTGTTTTATAGCTTAATTAATATATTGACCTTGAGAGAGAGCTATACAACATAAAGAGTGTATTATTTATAATTTTATAATTTTAGACTCGATTTCAACCGCGACAACGATCACTGAATATTGTAGGATCGCATATGCGTCCAATATGTTCATTTGGACCAAATTCATGACCCCATACCAAAACTTTGTATTACTTTTAAGTAAATATGAAAGACAAGTATAAATCCAAGTCTACTTTTATTGGAGTATTTGGCGATATATAATTATAGGAGATATAAAATCATTTTATATACATTAAGATTTCAGTTATAGTGAATTATTGATCACAGGAATACAAGTCTCACAGAGTGAACTGGACATTAAGTAAAATACCATGTTTCTTACCATAAATTGGGTTTGCAAAGAAACTCTAAGGTTGTATGCATTTCAAATCAAACATCAATAAAGAAGCAGTTTGGCTCAATAAACAATAATCATGGGCAATTAACCTGGGCAGCTTCTCAAACTGGCAAAGTCAAAGATAACATCCTACTCAAACAAGTATAAACTTTACACAGTTTCAACAGGATGTTGGGGAGCTTTCACTTAAAATGTTTTTGTGAGATGGTGTCCTTGTTTTGAGGCCTAGGTGGTGCACTGCATCACCTAGTCCTACAGATAAGACTAAGTGCTGTAGGTCTTATACACTTGCTTCCTAAGCACTCAGGTCTTAAGCCCACCGCACACTATACGATCCTCCCGCAATGTTTTTTTTCTCAAGAAATGGCAATCATATTAAATTTGGAAATCTAAACAAACATCATATTTCTGACTGAGGTTCGAAGTAGTAATAAGAATATCAACAACCAGAATTCTAGTGCTTTTTAGCCTCCCAGTTCAAATAAAAGCCACATTTGCTTCACATCGTAGCCAATTGCTATCAATGGCAACTACTACCATGGTAACAAGGCTCAACAGCCAATCACAATCAAGGTTTCCATGGTAGTTACAATTGATGGCAAAGTTACCACCAATGGTAAGTTTTGTGCAACGAGCCCAGGCGTTGAAGTCACTATGACTTTTGTGCTGAAATCCAATCTAGCTTTTCATCTTACAAGGAAGCTTCCAATTCCTTAAACTTTAGATTTTATAAATCATGTTGCAATTTAGATTCTTGGTCATTAATATTGTACAGGTTTGAATGTGCATATCAAATTCTTCCGAAATTGGATTAAAGTCAGATTACATAGCATGCCCCAGGTCTTATGTTAAGTATCAGTGAAATTAATTAGCTGTGGGATTGGGAATCAAGATGCTTTCATGATGGACTGCTAGGTCTCCTTGTTGCCTTCGGTCTTGTCTAAAATGAAAGAGAGAAAAAGAGAGACGCATTATAAAAGCAGAGTGAGAGAGAGAGAGAGAGAGTGAGTGAGAGAGGAAAATGGAGGAAGGGAGGAAGAGAGAGAGAGAGAGAGAGAGAGAGAGAGAGAGAAGGGTGGGGGGAATCCATTGTTAAACCGTGCCTTTTCTATGGGCATGGACTCACAGAGCACTGGGCAATTGTATCAGCTTTATTATCATCCCCCCCCCCCCCCCACCCCTGAACTTTTACTATCCAAAAACTCCTCTAGCAATTATCTTCCCCCCTCCCCCCTCCCCCATCTGACAAAATAATACTCTATTTGGAAGACCTATTTTCCCACTTAAATATATAGTTGAGTTCTGGTCATGCGATTGCATTGTGAAAGAAATGTTGTGGAATCGATCAGAAAAGGTATTTAAGTATTGGTGTGTACTGCAAGGTTCTTGAATTATCAAAATGATAAGGAATTTGGCCAAGTCTTGGTAAAGTTAGAAGCACTGTACACAGAAAGATGTATATGGGACTACACGAAAATGTAGCATAAAAATCTGTCCCGATTTTTATGATGTTACATGCCATATTTAAAATATTAAGGCATTTGAAGAGCCATGCTTTTCAGGGAACACTTTGTATAATACAATGATAACGCTCACAAATTATTTTTCACCTCTTCCCAGAACTCAACCTTCTCTTTAACTATTCCATCAGGCAAACTATCCCAACAGCGATTACTCAATTGTACTCAAGGATAGGTGTATGTTAGCTGCCCAAGATGGAAGTATGGGGAGGGGATGGGGCATGGAGTTGGTAGTCTAGGAGGTACATGTATTCATTCTATGATTCACACAGATGGGTATTAATAACAAATCTAACCCTACCCTATATGCTAGGAACAGGTGTCTCACCTTGGCAGAAGTTTTGTTGGTGCTACCTCTGGGCCTTGATGATATACCTGATGAGATCGCTGGTTCAAGCCCTGCTCCGTTGCCTACAGGTACTCTTCTTACCGAGTTGGTAGGCACAGGGAAGCTGGGAGCAAGTCTGTTTCATGGGGGGAAGGAAAACAAATTACACTGCTGATCACATGGTAACAAAGAAAAAAAGTGGTTAACATAGCTTGTAGCTTTGCATCTTTGTTAGTGTGTTGATGAGAGATCATTTAACACTCAGAAACACAGAAAGAAGAGGCAAATGCAATTTGTTGGTCTTGAATAAAGATTACAGAAAGGATAATCTAAAAAAAAAAGAAAATACTAACAGGGAAGATTGCTGGATATAGAAGCAGGGGAAGGCACCGCCTCACATATTTGCAAAACCTGAACAAATGGGCAACCAAAAGTGAAATCAGCAAAACCAGCTTTTAAAGAATAGCAGTCAATAGACACAAACGGAAGGCCATGACCGCCGATGTCTGTAACAGATCTGGCACTTGATCACTCTCATTTGTAATAAAACTAAGGAAAATCTTTGAACAGACCCTTTGCTGGCTCTCAAGATATCCCATATTCGTTATCAAATATTTGCTCTCATGACATTTTCTCTTCATTTAATATTAAGATATAAAGTTAGGGCTTAGGTTGAGTAATTTGTGTAATGTGCACAGATGGCTGGGTTCAAACTTATGGCCTATATAGTTCAACAGGGAGATACTGAAACAACTGAGCCAATTTGCCTCTTGAAGACAAAGATATATTGTAACAAGTCAACAACAATTCAAACACTATAATTCTTTCAATCGATTACTTTGTTTCACTCAGTAATGGTGTCCTTATTAAGTGGTAAAACATTGTTGTACACACTCAAAATCCAAATTAGATGTGAAATAAAGATTTAAACAATGATATCATCATATCAAGTAGTAGGCACTAACCTGACAGAATTTGAATTTGTTGTTTTCTTCATCCTATTCGAATCTGTCGCAAAGCTCGGAACATAGCCTGTTGCACCTGCCGTCCTCTCGGTGTTAAACGCCCCCTTGTTGGGAGTCTTTCCAGAGTTTGCTTTCTTCACGCTTCCCACATAACCCCTGTCCTCTCTCGTGAGCAAGGCATCATTGTCAAACTGTGAAAGCGTCTCATGAAAACTGTCCTGCCTTTCGGTGCGCTTCTTGTTGTTGTTATTGAAAGTTCGAGCAGCTGGAGTATTGGATTTAGAAGTCGTGTTTGAGCTCAGGTTGTCATTGGCATAGTCGCTGTTGGTGAATTTCTTTGATACTGGTTTCGTTCCTGGCGCAGCCACAGAAAAAAGAAAATCAACAAAGAATGCAACGTCTAGCTGTTAGACAGTGTGCAGCAGATCGACAACGAAATATAGATCAGTATGATTTGTTTTTCTACATTTACAAATACAATGCTATCGGTGATGTGTGAAAAGATGTTTAAGATAAGATCGGCGATTAAATTCCTTGATCTAAAACACAAAAGAAGTGCAACAGCTTTATACCTTGAACAATGGTGATGTAGAAGATAAGATATATACAAGTTTGGTAATAAATTTCTTTATAAAAAGACATGAATTAAAAAAAATCATACTTCAGCATTTATTCAGAGCATTGTTCTGAACTGCCTCAAACTTTTGTTTATGCCAGACAAATGAACACAATATTACTAACAAGTTGGAGTCATATAATACCAACAAAAATGGTGAAGATAAGAAAAACAATAATATTTTTTATCAGTGCACACTGATTCATGCTCACCTTTAGTATTTCAATAAAACACATGTTATTGAACAATAAATGTTGTTTTACTTTAATGTAACACTTACTTGGTTCTTTATTACTTGCTTTGAGAGGTAATGTGGTCCCTGTATAATGAGATCCTACATAATGTACATCATTAGCTAGGTAATCATCTACATCATTCTCCTTAACTCCACCACTCTTACCTGAAAAAGTAATAACGATCCAAGAGAACAAAATAAACAATCACAAAATGATGTCACATACACGAATAATACTCAATATGCAAACAAGCAGGTGGAAAAGTGGTTCATTGAACAAGTAGGAGTAGAAGAAAGGAAATGTTGAAATGCAATTTGATTTTTTGCAAATAATCTGGGACTTGATTTCTAGTGCTTTGGCAGTTGATAATTTCACCACAGCAGCTTTATTCTCCATGCTTCTAACTTGATTATATCCAGTTTTTTTCTTTCACTTATGCCATATGGTTTGGCACGTTAAAGGGATCCGGTAACTTTGTCTCAGATTCTGAAACATAATCCAGGATCTAGCTCATGCTGCAATGATAATTATAAACCTTTAGGTCAGTCAGGATCCTCATGACTTTTACAAGCTGATCGCCTGTCTGATTATCAAGATATTTATGATTGGAAATCGAAACTTAATTTTGTTTTCCTAAGGGTTTCCATAACACGACAGTCTATTGGGGAAAATGAGTATGGTAAAACCGGTCACTCAAAGATTTTTACTTTTTTGACGCACTTCTTGATCATTTTAAAGCGCAATTTTTGTAGGGCTTCAATATTACACCATATCACAGACACTGATAACACCTAGGGCCGTGCATCTCAGATTTAATATTGTTAAACGATGCCTTTAAGGCATAGAAGCTGTAGAACGACTTGTAATGAATAACTTATAGTTATATTACATTTGTGTATTTGTATTAATCTGAATTCATTTAACTGCACTGGACTAACCTGTACGATTGCTGTTTTTATTCTTTGAAGGTCTACTGTACTGCGCTCTTCCTGATACATCGTCGGCTTGACCCAATGACCTCTTGACCTTTGATGACTGTCTGTTCTTCCCTTCTCCATCGGCTTCATCAAGACCTGGGGAAAACATATTGTATCACATAAGCCAATATTTCCATGTACAGATAAATGTAGTTATGCCCATGATATGGACACAGACAATTTTGTTTTGAAAAAACAAGGGATCCTTACTACACATGCTTCGCACCCATATGAACCTTGCCAGCTCATTTTCAACAATTCTCAAACTTTGTAAAAAACGATAAAGGCTTATAAGGCATTTCAAGTGATAATGGTTACAGGTATGCAGAAACCTTGAAGCTTGTCCACTCTATGATAGAGATGATTTTCACAAAACTCATCTGCCATACTAATCTAATATTTCCTTTCCATTAATCAGTGCATTTGGGAATAATGCAAGCAATACTTTATGGTTAGTTACTGCATCTTTTTATCATACACACTCAAAGGAATAATGACCAGGAAATATTTTCCTAAATTTCCTGGTTGTCCTGACATCGCATGGTGGTCAATGGCAAATTTCATGCCATAACTTTTGACCAATCAGAGGGCTAAAATCCTGGTATGTGGTAAATAAAAGTTAACAAATCATTTGTCTGTTCGAAGCCACTGTACTAATGGTAACATAATCCTGGCTCAAATCATATAAAGATTTATATACCTCATACATAAATTCTTATCCACTAATTGTTCACAACTATATCACGTGAAAAGGCGCATTTCGATCTATCATTGCGTCAGAGGGTTTTGGCGTTCTATCAATTGACCCAAGGTCAAATGATAGTACGCCACAACCCTGTGCTGTAATCCCTCCGCGACTTTTGCACACACAGAGCATACAGGATTTCAAATGCTTCCAGCGGGCAACTCCCACGATGTTAAGGCACTCACGCCGTGCAATTTACACTGAGCTGCAGTAACTTGCACTACACTACTGTAGTACCTGTATAGATTGGATTTCTGTATATTTGATTTCTTTTAGCATTGGATATTTAAAACTTTTGAACTTTGAAAGACTGTAAATAGTGCGGTATGGTATGTAATCCTGTAGGATTTTTTTGCCAAAGTTGATTTCCTTGCTGTTTTGGCTTCAAAAGGGTCCCAATTGGCCAAAAATGATAGGGTTCAAATTTTCAGACCCCTCCTTATTTTCCTGGGGGGGGGGGGGGTACATATTGGGCGCCAAAATGGATTATATAACGCGCAATAGGGAAATTTGGAGTCTTCAGGAAAATTTGAACCCCATCAATTTCTGATATGGACCCCAATGAATCCAAAAATGCAACAAAAAAAAATCAACTTTGGCACAAGAATCCTACGGGAGCTGTTTCAGTGACAAACCATACCACACTAAAATATGTTAAATAGACTCTTGATGTTGGATTTCTTTTCTAGACAAATTTATGAATCAATTTAAAGAATGAAGTATATGAAACAAATATGGATTGCTCTGTAATTCAATGGTGGTGGAAGGGGTGATAGAAGGGCCGGTTTGAACACCACCTTGGGAATGATATTTTCCACTATCATCCTTGTGAGCAGTCAAATTTGTAAAATATTGTACCTGACGATGGGAACCTGTTTCTCAGCATCAAATCCTCCTGTCTTCTACTAGGATTCCTGTTCTTTGGAGGGGTCGATGATGACAATGATGAGCCTATCGTGCTCCTGGCTCCTACTGTAGATCTGGTAAACAACCTGGGGCTAGGGGGAGCTTCTGAAAGATCCTGGAGGGCCGACTCCACTTCTTGGTTGGGCCTTGCGGGTACGTTCTCCTCGCAGTGAAACTATAATGAGAAATAGAACAGAGAATATGAAAAGTCAACAAGATGAAGGATACCGTAATGCACAGACTTAGGCTTTGAAGAAGTTATTCTTTCCTTGTCAATAACTGCAGAAAATGAGAGTTACAGCTAATGAAAATGGTGCAGAGGATCTGTTGGTAGACCATCTTTCCTTGAACGAAAGTCACAGGATCAAATCCTTCTTGGGCAGGTGACTGAAAAGTGTGTTGTGTGCAAAAGTACCCCTCTCCTGTTCCAAGACTGTGGACACATCCTTTATTCCTGTGTGGAGGACTAGAGGCGTTGTTGTGTGTCGGATAGCCATGTATTCCTTAAATCAAGAGCTACACATACTATACATTCATCTGTAACTGCATTTGATGTGGTACACCTGTACGATTCAATTGCACCTTGTGGACTAGTAGCTGTGGGCTATACAAAGTCAATCTGTGAATTGACCAAGTTATTAGGTACAAAACTTTTATAGCAGGGGATCACCACAGAACTCAAACAGTAACATGAACCCCTATCAATAGAACCACTATGCCCGGAGCAATACCGGTACCCCTTTCTAATCCCAGCCAAACCCTACTTTTAGCTAAGGAAGAAACTAACCTGATGATAAGGTACTGAAGGAATTCACAGGGCGGATCTCTGCAGAACTCGCAAGGGAGCATAACAGAACCCTCGTCAGATGAGCTCAATGGCATGAACACTACCCCCTCCTTATCTCTCCTTAACCCCCTCATAGCCACCTCCTGAACCCCCTGGAGCTAAAGAAGATAGAACTAACCTGATGATGAGGTAGGAACTCACAGGGCAGGAGAGCTCCACAGAACTCACACGGTAACATGACAGAAGTCCCCTCATCAGATGAGCCAGTATGATAATGGAAATTCGGTTCAGGGCTTATCAATCTACAAATCAGTAGGAAAGCAAGAGAAACGGAAGAAAAATAAATACAATGAACATCAAAGCCTGGAAATGTATGCCACTAATTGATTGTATCATGATTTGCATTAGGACTAAGATTTTCAATGAACAATGAGGGTTTAGCCATTAAAAAAATTAAAACTGTAAATGGTATAGGTTGACATGGTATAAAATGTGGGATCTGAAGACAAATACATTATAAAATATAAATCAGTCACAACATAGAATGCTCATTGTAACTGATAAATTCTTAGATATCATCAATAAAACAATTATTTTCATGAAAATGCAGTCATTCTACAGCCAATTTTTAGGGGTGCTCTCACTGATTTCTCTCTCGTTTAAGATACAGCAATGTGAAGTATACTTTGCATGCTCTATGTCTTTGAGGCAGTTTACTACATCATGAAAGACTGTGTCGGTAGTGAAAAATGGAAAAAGATGAATTACAATGTACATATATATATCAACGGAAAGCTACAAACTATAGATTACAATAATATCAATTATATGCTCCTTTAGTGTCAGCTCTCTGAAAACTTGAAATCTAAAGCTTTGAAAATCAGAAGTTGTCAACATAAAAACTAGCTATTAACTCAATGATAGCATCTAATGTGGAGTACCACATTCAAAATGGCTTTGCATTAATTAAGCACGGCTCATCGCCTCAGCTAGATAGGCGAGGGTCCACATGCTATATCCTCACAGTTATTTCGTCAAATTTGACCCCTGTTCACCTGTAATTTGGAGGGGTGCAGAAATTGAGGTTTAAATTTGCTTTTGTGCAATACTGAAGGTGAAAATATTATTTCCTTCTTTATATTTGTATTCTACATTCAGTCAGCTTTCCACTGATAAAAAGTTGTATTTTCATCGGATAGGGTCTAATAGGTTTAATGAACAAGGCTAAGCCCCCCCCCCCCCCCCCCCCCCCCCCCGCTCAACATTTTTCGCGATAATTTGTTAACGCAGGAAAATCTTGCACTGAAATTTTGTGACTTTATTCTTTCAAATCTTGCGCATCTTTTGAAAGAAATTTTTTTGAAAATCGGACCTACCATTACAAAGTCACGTGTCCTTTTGTCTTTGCATGTCAGCCCAAAAATCGCTCATTTTTGTGATTTGTGTACAAAACATATGGAAATCTCATTTTTTGAATAAAGAGATAAAACATTGGTTATTTGGTCTTGTTTAGAGTTAAGGTGTTTATTTTGGGGTCAAAATAGTTGAATTATAGTTTGAAATGAAATAAAACAACAAAAACAATAAAATACATATGTTAAAAAACAAAGAAATACATAAGAAATTATCAAAACAATAGATAACATAAGGAATAACCCTGGTTTTTTCAATTTTTTGTGTTGTATTATTATTCCAAATGGTCTAAAAAATATATGTAGTGAGAAAGAATGCTTAAATATGAATGTCTGATTTATGGGCAAAAATGTGAATTTGATGACCTTATATGCATAAATTACCATAAATATGCAAATGAGTGAATTTTTCAAAAAATTGAAATTACCATAGTATTCTATACACTTCACTTGACATGTATGCAAATTTTCGCGGCGATCGGTCATTTCACGGCCGAGATCATAGGGGCTACGCAGTTTCAAAACAGCCTGGGCTAAATAGGGTTAAAGTGACTCGGTAACATTGCCTCAGATTCTGAAACAAACTCCTGGATTTAGCCCATGCTGCAATCATGATTATAAACCTTTAGGTCAGTCAGGAATCCCGTAGTAATAATATATATATATATATCTGTAAAGTGCTTTGAGAGGGCCTTCGATCCTGAAAAGCACTATATAAGAACTACCGGTAGCTATTATTATTATTATTATTATGGCTTTTACGAGCCGATCGTCTGTCTGATTATCAAGATATTTATGATTGGAAATCAAAATAAAATGTTGAGTTTTCCTAACGGTTTTCATAACACTACAGTCTATTGGGGAAAATGAGTATGGTAAAACCGGTCACTCGCAGATTTTTTACTTATTTGAGGAACTTCATGATCATTTTGAAGCGCTATTTTTTAGGGCTTCAATATTACACCACATCACAAAAACTGATAGCACGTAGGAACATGCATCTCAGATTTAACATTGTTAAACGATGCCTTTAAGAAAGAGGACTAACCTTTGAAGGTTGGGTCTTCTCAAATTGTCTAGTACTGGTGTTTGTGCTGGGGCTGAGCCTTGGGGTATGGTCTGCTGCTGGTTGTTGGAAGGCACTGATGTCGGAGGACTAGAATCACGTATAAGGTCCAGGGATTCAATTTGACAGCCACTCTAAAGGATGAGAAGTCATACACAAAAATTGGAATGTACTTCTAGAGAGCTAACAGTGCTTCACAATTAATCACAGAAACCTAACTGATACCGGTAATAAAACCCAGAGTATATATGTCAAAGATATAGGGTTAGGATCCCAATGATATAGGGTTAGGATCCCAATTGGCTTTTAGGTTAGGTGTTTTATATTGGAGCTGAGTATGGGGTATGGTCTGCTGCCGATTGTAAAAAGACATGGACGTCAGAAGAAATCATAAATACAGTCAGACCGGATTTAGCGACAAACCAGCAGAGAACGACCACTTGTGTATGAAGACTATATTTTAATTATTTTTTCCAATTAAGCCTGTATTTAAGGAACCTGTACATGAAGACCACCTGGGCCCTGTTTATAAAACTTGTCATCAATCACTAAAGCTGAATTTCTTTGACAGATTTGCTCTCAGCCAATCAAATGCCATGATTTCAGTAGCTTATAACAGTTATTTTAACTTGTTATTGATAACTAGTTTTATGAAAGAGGGCCCTGTTTTCAAAGGCTGCCTGCCTGCCTCTCTTATATACAGGTTTCATTGTAGTTGTTGCTCTTTTGTTTCCATTAGAAAGTACTAATAGAGAGCTCAGATACAACATTCCATATTCAATCTAATTTTACTTTTTTTTAAATTGACCTGTTGCATCCAGTGGTTTTAAAAGCTGTACTACTCTGGTGGCAAATACACATTATATCTAGTAAGGTTTCCAAACAAATATTGCTTGGTGAGTTACTGGTAGAAACAACACTTTTTTATTTTCATATATGAGGGTATTTCCATTCAATATTTGCAAGGAATAACATTTATCAATCATCTTCTATTGTAAAGTGCGTCCCAGAAAAACGAAACCGAGAATTATCAATGTTTCATCATAACTTAATCACAATTATAATAAATAAAAGACACATATTTGTAAAGCATACATCCTCCTCTTTCATTTGATGTAACTCAAATGATGCATATTTCAAACAAAAGTGATTAAAAACTATTTGAAGAGAGGAAATCAAAAAGTCATTTGGTGGGCCGTATCTGAATTTCAAAGAGAAAATCACATTTCTGGAAAGTTCATTTTCTGACCTTTCATCTGACACCTCAATCAGGAAAAAAGAACCAGGACTAATAAAGTTCTGTTTGTTTAAAGTAATGCTTGCATTTCCATAGTTTGATTAAACAAATTCATTTTCACTGGCTGCCTGCTGTAGCAACAAACAGAGTTGACAAAAGACTTAACTCTGTTTCGTTGATGATCAGCCATGCACAAAGAAGACGAAAGACTTGATTCTTGGTTTCGTTTGCTCTGGGACGCAGTGTATTTATGAGATTTGGTTCATATCAATGAGTGAATAGTGCAATGACTTACCTGATGCAGTATGAGATCGTCTAGAGGAAACGCTTTATTACAGAACTCACAAGGTGCCATCACAACCTCTCCTGAAGTAACTGCAACAATGATTGCAAACAAGAAGATGAGGTTATTCTCCTGACCATGAACAAAGCTCGCTGCTTCAAGAACATGTATGTTGACACAGAGAAACTTCTTTTTGTTGAAATACCGCATTCTCAAATTCTTGTCCACAGAAAAAAAAATTCTCTTAAGAATACAATACCGGTACAGTAGTTTGAAATTCTCGTTCAGAACTAATTTTTTGGAGAAAAAAAATATCAATGTGGACTGTCATTTATATGGAGTCATTATTAGTTAAGGTATAGTTTACACTAGCCAAACTATGTGCTAATACAATTGTGACAGTCCCTGTAAGCTGCATATCCTGAAATACACCAACATGAATATGCATACATGGGACAATGTTGCAGGCCAAAACAAAGGTGGCCGGGTCGTAGTCGACACATTTCAAGGAATGTCTTGTTCCTTTTGTTTATTACTCAACATTCTTTCAGAATCATTTGGTAGATGTAAATCATTTATACAGTAATACAAATATGTTGTGATAATTCAGTTGTTTTTATTAGAATTAATTTTCATCATAACTACAACTCAAACTTATCTTTGAGCTCTCACCATTCTCATCTAAAGCGTCCCATAGCGCTGACTGAGAAACCTGGCTGTTCAGCCGTCTCCTTGACGGAGAGCCCAAGTCCCTGTCGCTCTCCCACAGATCCAGCTCACTCTCATCTAAATCCCTGTTACCATGGTTACTAAGGAGGGAATCAAGGTTGCTAGTGGTCTCCTGGTCAAGGCCAGGGTCATCCTCATTGGATATGCTGAGGGCTAGTAGCCGGTCAGCCTCCATCTGGTCAGCTGCGAGGGTGTTGGATTGCTTTGTAGAATCTGGAATGAAAATGGTGGTACTTTCTCGATTCAAAAGCTTGATCTCTAACAGATACCTAACCTAAATCATCTTATACTGTACCTACAATAAGAATATCAAATTAAATTTTTTTAATACTCATAAACAGCCTTTATCACTTTTCTTTTTCCTTTATACTTGAAACACACATACATGTAATAACAGTAAATGATAATATGTCTTGTTTACCCAGGGTAGCCTCATCAGTATTCATACTGTTCTCCCTGAGGGCCCTGCAATCATATTATTACCCTGGCTTTAGCCGAGCTACCATCAATTGGTTCTCAAGCATTATAGGAATTTCTTCCTACGGGGTACCCATTTACAGTATGGCAAATGTAGATTAATGTATTGCCAAAGGACATTAGTGCCGTGGCGGGCTTCGAACCGGGAACCATGCGATACACAGTCCGGTGACGTATCCACTAGACCACAACACCTCCACGAATATATATATAAACTTACTTGATACAGACAAAGGTAGCCCCTCTGATGCCATGGGTAAAATATTAAGCAAAATAATATTGTATTTGATATGTTTGAACAGCATGCAAGAACAACAAGTGCTTTCTTCTTGAAACAAGAACACTACATGTAGGAGTAGTGTGAAGATTGTTCAATGAGTTCATTTGATGTCCAATTGAACAGTGAATCAAAGAATCAATGGTCAACTCAAAAGGAAACTATTGATATTTCATTTATGGCAATTTATTGTACTAAGTGACAAAGAAAGGGTAAATTGTAATTTTTCATTGAATCCTCCAAACAGACGAACCTCTTACCTTTTTTCTTGCTTGCTACGGGTTTTCTCTGGTTGGTATTCTTATAAATGTTCTGAACTCTATCCTGATTCTTTCTCTGTCTCCTGTTACGTCCTCCTGAGTTTGCATCCTGAGCGCCGCTCCCATTATCCCTGCTTCTACTGTAGAACTGTGAACTGCTCAAGTTAACGTTTCTCGCCGACGGCATCGTCGCACTTTCATCTAGTAGATCGCTCGGGTCAACGTACTCTGGGAACGCAAACCGATTTGCCACAGCATGGTAGGTGGTCTCATCGTACCCTTCGAGATCATCGAATAAGGACCCCATGGTTAGGGGCTGCCTGGGGACAGAAGGTTTCTGTTCGGGGAACGCGCACTCCGTGATTTCGTGCTGGTCCCGGTCACGATTCTGGATGTAGCGTTGACACCTTGGGCAACATTCTGTGCGGCTTCCGCAGTAGTTTAAATGCTCAGCCATCTGAGAGAAGGGCAGATCTAGCTCACAGTATTCACAGTGCATGATCCTCTGGACACAGTCATTTTTCTGCCATGAAATAATTATTGTCAAAGAGAGAAAAACATAAATGAATGACACTTACACAAGTGAAAGCAAAAATCAACAAATGATAATAACATTATAACATTCTTGTATAGCAAAAGACCATATGAAACATTGTCTCTTTGTGATTTCAGATGTTATCCAGTTTCAGGTAAGCTTCAAAAATTGAATCAAAACACAATTTCTCACATGGTATATTCATTTATAAGTTTGTTTAATAGCAGAGTTCTCCATGCTTACATTGCTACCTGCCACTTCCTAGAAATACAGTGTACTTGGTATGCTTGTACACACAAGTTATCTGAAAAAGAGAGGAAATGTAAGATTTCTAACAAAAGTTTGAAGGATGGAAAATATAGGAATGATTCTTTGGCAATAGGAATGGTTGGCAGCAATAGGTATAATAAATCCACATTGCTACAATTTGAAATGAATATATATTTCTGAAATAAACCATCTACAGTAACTTGCGCTTCACCTGAAAGCCATAGATCATCACATAGCCCTACCTCATGTTCTTCAACTTTGCTTATCTCCACTGTTTCTCCACACTTGCAGGTCACCTGAAACAATGAAGAAACAAAACAATGTGTAAGTCAAATGGTAGTCAGTGTCCGTGTGTATTGCATCATAAATATCTCATAAAAAATGAAGTCCATTCTTGGTGACTGACAACACCTGTTATTGGGTAAACACCAGAATGGTGTCAAAATCCCCTTGAAAACCCACTACGGTCAGCCTTTAAAAGCCTCCCTTTGAATTCAGATTTACACTACCTGTGGACTTGACATACATATTTTCTTGTTTAAAGCCAGATAAGAATAGGCATTATCATATCCACTTGCAATTACTTGATACATAAATACCGAGGAATCACGTAAAAAAAATGAAGAATAATCATTTTTTATTGAAATATGACCATTACACCAGTCAAACACTATGAACTGGCAACATTATTCTGGTGTATGGTGACGTGACTCTCCTCGCTTTCATGCCATTGCATGCAGAACAGCGACAAGTCGTGCATGCGCACTACCCACCAAAAAACAGAATGAGCTTTTTTATGGGTTTTTCAGTAGTGTAAATGGCAAATTGTAGATGTAAATGGGGCCTCATGTATTTACTTACTGGTTTGTGGTATTCCTCAAAGTGTTCTTCCATTTCTGATCTGGGAACAGGTTCATTGCAGTCTGTACACAAGGTGATGTTCCTACGACAGTGCACCTCATGCATGATGAAGTTACCTTCTGCAATCTCCCGCTTGCTGAAAGATAGCAATATCATTCATTGTTAGCAGTCCAGATTCTGTCCGTTTCTATATCTCTTATTCTTGAATCACTTTTTACCTCCTCCCTTCATACAAGCAGCACGGTGTCTCCACTGATCGCGCTGCCCCCTAAAATACACCCGTTGAGGGTAAGATAGAAAGGACTGTATCCATTTAACGTTGAGGGTGTCTCATTTTTTGCTGATAATTGGGCATGCGACACAGAAACAGTCCAGGAGTGGACTATATTGTTTGATAATTTCATTAACGTATCAATTTAAGGTACATATAAGTACTGTATATGTACATGTACAGTACATGTATGCAAGGACAAGAACTGACAAGTAGCAGGACGTCTATTGCAAAATTTCTTCATCTGTTCATTGGAGATGTTTGTGGATTTGCCATAATTAATGTGAGATTTTCCTCAAAATAAAGTTTTGTCAGAGTTCTTTTAAAAATTGTTTGAAAAGTGAAATTTGCTCATCACTTCTTTTATTTGCTGATGCTGCCCTTCACAAAAGATATGAATAACTTTCTGGGGCATAGTCGAGTATATTAATAATAATAATAATGTTTTACAGTCCACTCCAAATTTTATTAAGTTAAACCGAAAATGGAAATTCTTTTTGCCCAATTGATCCGGAGCCTGGCAGCCACTGAGCAGCTCCAGATCGACGTTGCTCTATCCCTTATTGTTGAACGCCAAAAAAGGTAGCAGTAACTCGCGTCTTTTAACGTCTTTTGGTATGACGTGACCGGGGTTCGAACCCACAACCTCCCAGTTGTGAGGTGGACGCTCTACTGACTGAGCCAACACACTGGTATTATACATTACATTGGATTTTGAAACAGTAAATATTTTTCAAGGACAGATTTGTCAATATCCAATTTAGCTATAAAAAAGTACAGTATGTACATGTAAATGCAGGTTGAATTATTGAATATGTCCTGCCTAAGATTTTCCAGTATGTTTGTGTATCTCTCTCTACTCACTTTTTCACATTTTGAAGAAAACAAGATAATTTTTTTTTTTAATGTGCGACAGAAAGATGTAAAAACATTCCGTTTAAAAAAATGAGTTTAAAAAAAAAAAATGAGCAAACAAAAAGGAAAAAGATTATGAAGAACATAGATATAAACAAAATATTAGAAAATATAAACATTTCTTTTCCAGAAATAGAAGGAAACAGAAAATAAATAATTAAATGAACAAGGAAGTATGCACATGTATGAAAGCAGTGTACATTTTCACACAAGTTTCAATATAATTGCCCCAATCCCCTCCCCCCCCCCCTCCCCCCACTAAAAAAAATGCATATACAATTGAATTCAAATTTTATATTTTAAATCCAAACAAATAGACATGCTGAATTATAGTTTTTTTTTTTTTTTGGGGGGGGGGTCAATAATAATCTGGAAGTGAATTTCAAAACAATACGGTATGTGTATAACCTGGTTATTAACTCTTATCCTGCCATGAGACTGCTAGCGCGCTATTGTTATAGTGCCATGTGCACGCGAGCGTGCTATCGATTGAAAGCCACGTTCATGCTAGCGAGCCACCGCTACGGTGCTTTGTGCGCGCTAGCGCACAGATGTAATAACAGTTATTGTTCATGCCCATTGTACCGTGCTGAGTGCTTTTGCAGCGCTATTGAAAGTTCTATCGCGTGCATCAGATTATCGGCTTTGGATTACGCGTCTTTGTATACAACAGTCAGATTGGATTTTCTCGAGTAATTCAGCGATTTTTTGTTTGTAAAGATTTAAATAACACGCACTTGAACCAACCTTAAAATTAACTTGGCACGCAGGAGATTAGCACTGTGGCACAATAGGAATTAGCACTGTGGCACTGGGTGCATTGTATGGGTGGCAGCTTAAGAGTTAAGGGGGAAAGAATGTTCCATTTTATTGATGAATGTGCAGGTGTAGAAAAGGGTATTGTGAAATTTCCCAACTATGAATGTAAAAGATTTGCCAATGACAGCAGCAATAAAACACCTACTGTACATTGTATTGCATCATATTGGGAATCCCCAATATTAGTCTTTCTAACCAGACTCCACTGGAAGCTGTATCTTCACTATGAACATGACGGACAAAGAGGACAAACATACAGTACCTCATTCTACCCTTGCTGTGGTAGACAAAGGAACTGTATATTTTGTCCTCTTTCTTCGTCCGTCATATTCATAGTGCATATTACACATACTTGAATGAATTAATACATGTGGCTTGTACTGATGTTTTTCAAGGATGAAATATAGTATAAATTATTTTAGCATGTTTTTTTTTTATCTTGTAAACAGAAATATGGAGAACACATGTAGACTTTGGTGTCTACTGGTTGAAAAGGGGCATCTCCGCGGGTACAAAGAGCAAACAAGGGAAACGCTCTCGGCGGTCTCGCCTGCATAACGCAATTCAATATGATAAACCAGAACGTCAATGACGTAGCGCTCATCCGCATCTCACAACAACAAATATCGTAAATTTTATGTGGTACACTTTTGAACTGGTCAAAAAATAGAAATTTGATGCCCTGGAAGGGACATAATTTCATTTCATTTGCATAAAGTACCATGAATAATCAATGGAGCAAAATCTCACAATTCTGTGTAGAAGTTTATTGTTCCAAATTTAGCTCTACCAGATAAGGCAAAATCGGTCAAGAAATGAGGGAAAAGAAGCAATTTTTGTTATTTTTGGAATAAATTTGCATAAATTACCATAATTAATTAATGGAGAACAATTTCAAAATTCTGTGTAGAAGTTTAGTGTACCAAAGTTAGCTCTACGATATAAAGCAAACCAAATCAAAATCGGTCGAGAAATGAAGGAGAAGAAGCCTTTTTTGTGATTTTGAATAAATTTGCATAAATTAGCATAGATAATGAATTTCACGACTCTGTGTAGAAATTTTAAATCCCCTCCTAGCCCTATCATATGAAACAATCAGAATCAAAATCGGTTGAAAAATAACGAAGAAGAAGCATTTTGAAAATCTTAATGTTGATGCCACAACAAAGTCTAAGTTTGTTGACCTTAAATGGCCTTTGACCTTAACTTAGTGACCTGAAATTCTACTCACATGATTGGGGAGACTTGATAACCCTATAGTCCAAGTTTCATTGACTAAGAACTTATACTTTCAAAATTATATCAAAAATTCAAAAACTTAACCTTAGGTTAAGTTTTCGATGATGATGCTACAACATAGTCCAAGTCTGTTGACCTGAAATGACCTTTGACCTTGACTTTGTGAGCTGAAATTCTACTCACATGATTGGGGATACTTGATTACCCTATAGTCAAAGTTTCATTGACTAAGAACTTATACTTTAAAAATTATACCAAAAATTCAAAAACTTAACCTTAGGTTAAGTTTTTGATGTTGACGCCGTCGCCGTCGCCGTCGCCGTCGCCGTCGCCACCGCCGTCACCGGAAAAGCGGCGCCTATGTCTCGCTTTTTGCTACGCAGGCGAGACAAAAATTATAAAATTCAGATGTTTCAATTTAAATTTTATAACAAGGAAAATCAGAGTGCAAGGTGCATAATGCATTGGACCTGTCATTTGGATGCTAAATAACCTTTAGGAAAGAATTGCATCGGTTACTGCCAGGGTTGGGCGGTAAATACCGGTAAATACCGTCCGGTAAATAAGATGCGCATCCGGTAAATATGTAAAAAACGGGAAATATGATTTTAATTCTCTATTTATTAATAATTTTACTTGTTTTTAGCCTCACAACTGAAAATATTGTTCTGAAATAATTAGCAGCACAACACTCATAGTAGAAACACACAAACAGATTTATAAAACCCTCACTGCATACATGTACACACCCAAACACATGGCATTTTGTTCATATGCTAATTAATAGGTATTCATGAATATGGTAATTAGCAACTGGGAACCAAAACCTTCATACTAAGTTATTTTTATTGTAAAGTTTAAGATATTTTAATAAAATCAGTGAAAATTTTAACAAAATCGAGCAAGGAATAAGGAAGTTAAAGCTTTTTGAAATGATTAGTCACTAGAGGGCGATATTCAATTTGATGACATCATTTGTGGACAACTTTCCATGCCTTTTGGACATCAAATTTCATGTTTTTCCTTCTTTCTTGTGATTGAGATAATCTACTCCCCTGAAAGCAAGGTATAGCATGCAAAATGATATTCTGCTTCACATGTTATGAAGTCGGATCAAGAACACAAATAAATACCGGTACAAAGAAAACAAAAGAATTGTGAAATTTGATGTACAAAAGGCATGGAGAGTTGTCTACAAATGATGTCATCAAATTGAATATTGCCCTCTAGTGACTAGTCATTTCAAAATGCTTTAACTTCCTTATTCCTTGCCCGATTTTGTTCAAATTTTCACTGATTTTATTCAAATACAGTATCTTAAACTTTACAATAAAAGTAACTAATAGTATGAAGGTTTTGGTTCCCATCAAGATAAGGTGTGTATTTGGGATCTTTTTCCTGTATTTTTTCCAGCATTTCATAATAACAGACATAGACAAACACACAAACAAACACACACCAACACACCAGAGCAACCATACTCATCACCATTGTTATTATGTTCAAAATTGGACAATTCCTATTAACAAGTGAGTGGAAAAATTACATGTACATGTAAGTACAACGAATCACGGAGCCGCTCGGTTAACCCACTGGAGACTGTATCATTTGACACACATCTTACATCCAGTTTAATCCAGGGCTCGCTTTTTGTTTGGTATTCTATTGGTTAAGGGGCTCCAAGGTCCAATCAAGGTGCAATCAAAGTGCCTTGGGAATCCCCACTAACTGTTAGTCTGTACGCTCAGACTCTAGATCTTTACTCAATCAGTCCTAATCTTCTAGCTCATAATATATAATGGTATTTATTCAATAAACATCCTCGCAGCTCGAGAGCTGAATTACAAATGATTTTACAATAAAAAGTGCATGAACTTAACTAATTACAAATGGCGTAAAAACATTAACAAAATATATTTCCTCATAATAATAATAGGATTACATACACTTTAGAACAGGAAAAAAGGTACAGGTATCTATTCCAAATTAGGCTTGAAAGGGAAGTAGAAAAGTAGAAGCTGAGATCTTAAATAATAATTCAGTACCATATATAATCAAGGTAAGTGTTGTAGATACATGGAGGTACATGTAAGATATTGTATGGAAAGTGTGGCGGTAACAAATTGAAATCATAATACCGAACGTAAACGAAAGCTCGTCAAAGGTTACCATTAATTGTAACGCTAATTCAGGACCATCTCATGTGCATGACATATGAAAATGCATCGGCTATTTTTGCCTCAGCTGTGGCGATTTAAAGGGGCTGACTGTTTTGTCCAGTCAAGGACAGTGTTGAAACACTTTATGCTTTCAAATCGTTGAGTTTAATGTATATTTCTGTAAACTCAAATGCAATTTTTTCCTGCTATTTTATTGTGAATCGATATGCAATGCAATTCAGCTTTTGGCCTGCTACATGTATGCATCTTTTTTATTAAAACCATTTTCAATTCAGTTCAATTCTATTCAAGAGGTGTTAAGTTTTGTAATTCTGAGAGGGGCTTTGACAGGCCTATTGAGTAGGTTATTACATGAAATGAGGTGTGGCCACTGGGTTTTCCCCAGGGCTACTGCTTACATGTAATACATTGTATGACTGTTTTCATAAAGACTCTCATAAATATGGCAGTATTGCAACATACAGTACCATTCATGTTTAAATTCCTACCTTTGTGATGCAAGCGTATTTAAACTATTTTTATCCAAACCCACGATAGATGTCTATCCAAGGTTCAATGATTAGGCCATAAATGCATTATTTGAATTTGAAATACAATAACATGCGTTCTCATTCCTTTATTCCGCTTATAGTAAACATCTTTATACTCTTCATAAAACTCCAGTTGAATCTAAATGATATTATTGAACTACCTGGACATGTACTTTATAACTAGCAGTTTATGAATCTATTGATTCTTCAATAGGGATATACTGTACGTGTACATGTAAAGCATGTCATCAACAGAACAGAGGGGGGCATCTTTCTCTTATTTCTATTAAAGGTAAAATTAATGTTATCATTTTTGTTTATACCTTTTTTTTTAATAGAAAGCTAAATTGAAAGTATTTCAAACTAAAATAAAATCATTGAGCATTTTTCAATCTAATATATAATATTACTGCATTTCTAGGATTTTCTCATGTGATATTCTAATGAACTGCACTTTGGGTCAATTTCAATGTTCTTTACGCTATCCAGTCCTGCATTCGAAATTCCCACCCAAAATTTATAAATCAAAATAGTTATTATTGTTTTCTTTGCAAGTCCAAAAGTACATTTACCTGTATCTGTTCCTTTTATAGAACATAGAACTTCAAGCGACCAATTTCTTTTGAAATTGAAACTAAAAGCGAGACAGACTGATTAAACAAAAGTGCACCCTTCCTGGTTGACTCCTGAAGGGATGGGTATGTAGTACATGAAGAAAAAGTTTCAATCAATGAACATAACATACTTCAGTCTAACAAACACCGTAAAGTTCATAAAAAGCAACAGAGATAGAGGTTGTCATTGAGAGGAGAGAGAGAGAGAGAGAGAGAGATTGAGCAAGAGAGAGAGAGAGATTGAGCAAGAGAGAGAGTGTGTGAGAGAGAGTGTGTGAGAGAGAGAGAGGGAGGAAGATAGAGAGGGAGAGAGAGGGGAGAAGAGAGGGAGAGAGAGGGGGAGAGAGAGAGAGAGGAAGAGAGAGAGAGAGAGGAAGAGAGACAGGGAGGGAGAGAAAAGAAGAAGAAAACTCACCAGTTGGTACAGTACTTTGTGGCCCCAGGCTCCATGGTTACCAGTAGTCAGTACTTGTAAAAAATGGGCCCTCTTAACTTGTGTACTTGCTTTTAAATTCTAGCAGTGATTCTGTGAAAGATAATGACATTAATGATTAGACAACTAGTAAGTATTTTTAGTATAAGTAGGCTATTGACGTAAAGAGTTACAGGGGAAAAATGGCAACTATTGTCCCAGTTGAGAGTTCAAGATTTTACCTTGAATTACTGTTTCAAACAAGCAGAATGATTGCTGAATATCATAGACTTTATTTTTGAAATAAAAAAGCTGAAAAAATCAACATGAAGGATTAGTCTAAATTAGAATTAGAATTAGAATTAAGGACTCATTGAATAACCGTCTACGTTTTAATTGAAAAAGCTGAAAATTTCCTGTAATTTTAGAAAATGAAAATCATATCGTTTCCACCCAGCATAACCCAAGTTGGATACGCAGACAGCAGGCCCAGCCCAGCTCCAGGCAGATTCAGTCAACCCATAAATACTGTGCTACATGCGATTACCACTGTCTCGCCGCTCACCCTGCCAGAGCCTACCCGTAGGGATGTCAGTAATGGTAATGGCAAAACAGCAAGAGGAGTTAGAAGAGCCAAGCTTGAACGAGTACGAGTACAAGAAGCATCAAAACGGAACCAAAATTGTGAGGTAATTCACTGCTTTATATCTTTAAACACAAAATACAAAAAGGTTTAAATGCTTCCCGAAGGTAAGTTTAGTTATTTAGGTTCAAAATATGAGATATATCTGAAATATTCCAAGAGTACTCACCAGATTGGTGACATCGGCGAAATCGATCCATCAACAAATATTTCCAAAATAATACTGCGCCCTCTAGAGCTAAAGTGCGGCGCAGCTCTCAGACTGAAAAGTATGTCATCCGCGCGCCCTCGAAAACTTTTAATTAGATTATCGTGAATTTGGGCTGTGTGAAATTCTCAAATTCGCTTCATGGTCATGTTTCTGTGATAATGTAATGTTTGACTACTCCCTTTTTTGGAAATTCTTAGTGAATTAACTCATTAAAGAACTAAAGCAAAGCTTTCCGAGCCATGCAGAGAAGCATTTCACATTTAAATTGAATTCCCCCTTATCGGATTGGAAAGTTTTTCTACTTCATGTATACAATTAAGGGGCCTGTCCCCTCTCCCAAGCAACATTTCTCAAAAAAACTCGAAATGTGCCCTTTCTTCATACCATGATGATTTCTAAAAAATAACACTGCGCACCCCCCCCCCCTCCCCCCCCCCCCCCCCGTAGCACTTGTTGTAAGTTGGAGGAGGGGGGCGGGTGGTAGACGACATTCGTGTAACCTTGTGAACAAAATTCTTTGCCAGCTCCTCCTCATCTCGATGATGATGATTTTTATTCGACAAGCTTCCAACATACAACAATATACAATAATAACAGATCAAAAATAAGTCAGCTTGAACAGGATAACCCACCGCTCGAGAGCTTATTTCCAGTGGGGTCCCTTACAGACATGTAAAAAAATTAATAAGTTAAAATAGTAATATTTACAGACAGATAATAAAATTAAAAGAACTACTTATTAAAGATAACAATAATAATAACAACATTAAACTGATGATAGAAGTGATATTAAGTACAAGAAGAAAAAGAAGAAGGAGAAGAAGAAAAAGAGGAGAAGGAAGAAGAGGAAAATAATGATGAATTTGTAGAATTTCTATAACGTACGAAAACATAAGTATATATACAACATGAAAAAGTATGAACCGACAGAAGAATACAAATTTCAATCATATAACATGTCATTCACTTCTCTTCTCTGACTGTCAAGTATTAGGTATTCCTTTAATTTCCTCTTAAAATGATCATAGTTTCCTATTTCTTTTACATCATTGGGAAGGGAATTCCAATGTTTTATGGCATTGTAATAAAACGAATTTCCAATACTACCTACTCTTTCTGGTAAGTTAAAGTTGAATCGTCTATTACTTGTATTATAATCATGTACGTCAGTAACAAGATCGAAGTTGGATCGAATATAATGATTCGACCTAGTATGATATATTTTATGCACGTGATGCAATATACGAGTTGTTTTGGTCGACTTCAAGAAAACCAGCTTTAGAAAGTTCGCTGTAGCCAACATGAGTTCTTGGACCAGAACAGTTGATAAATCTCACCATTTTGTTCTGTATAATCTTCAACTTCTTTTGATCTGACTTGTTTATGTTACTATACCATGCAGGGTTAGCATAGTCAAATAAACATTGAATAAGAGCAAAACAGAGTGTACGTCTTGCTTTAGTACAACTTTGATATCTGTACAAAAATTTCAGACGAGAATTTGCTTTTTTTACAACTGATTCTACTAAAGATGAAAATGAAATTGCGCTAGCCAACTCAATGCCTAAATACTTCACAGACTCTTTTCTCTTGATTGCTTGATTATTGTGTGTCACTTTGAATTCAAATGACTTTTTAGAACTACTTTTAGAACAAAATAAAATGCTTTCTGTTTTTCCCAAGTGTAAAGAAAGCTTATTATCAGTCATCCAATCGACACACGTAGACAGCTGTTCACTGAGCTTTTCCTCAATATATTTAGGATCAGGATTTGAATAGAGTAGTACGCTGTCATCTGCGTACAATAATAGTTTGAAGTCTTTTCTACAAATACACATTATCATTTATATAACTTGAAAATAGACTCTTTGGGCCTAAAATGCTTCCCTGAGGAACACCGCATGTTATAGGCATTAGTTTGGAACGAACATCATGAATGGCCACTACTTGGTGCCGATTAGATAAGTAGGATCTAAACCAATCTAAACTTGCCTTATCAAAACCCATTAGTTGTAACTTCTTCAATAAGACGCAATGATTAACTGTATCAAAAGCTTTTTGCAGATCAAGGAGCACCATACCAACAAAGCGCCCTTGGGAAGTTTCTCTCCTCAAATAATCAGTCAAATGAATTAGACATGTTTCAGTTGAATAATCATGTCGAAAACCAGATTGAAATTCATAAATTATATCATTTTCTTTGAAGTATCTTTCAATTTGAACACAGACCGATTTTTCTAGAATCTTTGATGCTACGCTTAAAACACTAATAGGTCTATAGTTGCTAACATCAGTTTTATCTTTCTTTTAATAAAGTGGAGTCACTTTTGCTATTTTCATATCCTCTGGAAAAGTACTCGTCAAGATAGATAGGTTCATTAAGTAACTTAGAGGCTTAAATAAAACCTTCGCACCATCTTTTAGAAAATTAGCTGGAATCAAGTCTAACCCAGTACTTTTTGATACATTCAACTTACGTAACTCTTTGAAAACAAATTGTTCACTGATTGGTAATAACTCGAAGCTGTTTTCACGTACACCTTTTCTTTCGTAAAAGTCACGAATACAATCATTGTCTGCGCTGAAAAAGTCTTTGGAAGGGGGGAGTTTGTCTACTAATTTGGCAGCCACATTTGTGAAATGAGAATTGAATTCATCAGCGATGGCCATCTTATCATGACAAAATTCCCCATCAATTTTAATGACAGATTCTTGTTCTTTTCGCTTCTTATTTTTCAATCCTAAGCTTTTTAGATTCTGCCAAAGTTTTTTTCGAATCTTGTTTATTTTCTTCTATCTTGTTTTGTAAGTAATCGAGTTTAGCCTTTTTCACCTCTCTTTGGACCATATTTCTTAATACTCTGTATCTTTTATAGAGCTTCTCATCTTTTGCTCTTTTCCTCAATTTTTTGTATACTATATTTCTCTCTTGAATTTGGGAAAGAATATCTTTAGTCACCCAAGTTTCTGATCTTTGTTTTATTCTTATCCGTTTCAGTGGCGCTATCATATTCAAATTTGAGATAAAAACATGTTGAAATATTGACCATGCCTCATTTACATCTGTACAGTCAGTTATTCGTGACCAATCAACAACAGATAGTTGAAGATTGAAAGACTCTTCTGTATATTTTTTCATGGATCTGATATCATTAGTCCTGTGATGACCTATAGCCAGTCTAACATTTTTCCGTGTACAGAAAGTAAAATAATGGTCGCTAATACCTAGATCAATGACACCACTTTGACTTATTTTATTTTCTTTGGTACAACCAACATGATCCAATAGAGAAGAACATGTAAGTGTAACGCGTGTTGCCTCTTTAATGAGTTGACTAAACCCATGAAGACTCAACAAGTCAATATATTTTTTAGCCAGTGGCGATTTGCGAAGAAGACAAATATTCATGTCTCCTAAAAGAATTATTTCGTAATCTTTCTTTAATGTATCAAGAATATTGGACAATTTCTCGATAAACAAATTGTTTTTCGGAGGTCGATACAGAACGCCAACAACAATTGGTTTTGATCTTGGTATAAGCAAATTTATCCACAGGGATTCCGTATCTCCAGTACTTATAGTATCCATAATATTAAATGCAATATCATTTCTGATATAGAAACATACACCACCTCCAGAGCCAGAGGATCGATCATGGCGTATGATTTTATATCCGTCTATTTCAATTTCTTCATCATTTATGGAATTGTTTAACCATGTTTCAGTGAAAGCAATAATAGACAGCCTTTTTCTTTTAAAAAGAATTCTAAGTTCCGATATCTTGTTTAGAATAGACCTCACATTAAGGTGTAAAAAATGAAGACCTTTAATTTTAAACTTTTCTTCAAATTCTTGATAAAGAGAAGTGTTTTCATTTCTGAGGTTTGGCTGAATTATTCTTGCTATCGCTTGCTTTTCAGGTGTAACGCGCGTTACCTTAAAATAGTTTTCTTTTAGTCCATCCTCGTTTTGGCTTTCTTTCTCTAAACAATCGTCAGTAAATATTGAGTCACAAAAAGATGGCAGACAACATTTTTAAACAATTCCACTTCTCATCAGGGCATTCATAATATAACCTGCGGTACTCTGAAAAACTGATAGCTTGACAATTAGTGTGAAACCATTTTTTACAATAAGAACACAGAAGGCCGTGTTGATTACATTTGACTGGCTCCCCCCTTTCCCCAACAATTTCTTTCTAATTACTTCACTGAAGCCTAAATAGGGCGTTTTTCACTTGAGTGCCCATTCTTAAAATAAAGTGTCCTTTATCAATTTGATCCACCCCCCCTTCCAATCAAAATACATTCCACCACATTTGTTCATGCATGCCTAGAAAATGAATCAGTTTAAAAGTCATTCCATTCGTTCAGTCTTTAAAAGGATCATAGTTCATTTGCAATTATCGTCCATTCACTCAGTAAGTTGTCCTTTTAAAGGCCAACTCTGTTCCCCCCCCCCCCTCCAAAAAAAGAGAAGAAAAAAGGTTATTTCATAAAAACTGAAAAATCAGAGGAACAGAATGGTGAAAGTTTGAGAAAAATTGGACAATATATTTAAAAAGTATATATATATATATGAAAATCCTTTAAAATAATAAAAAAAATCTTAATACTATGATGGAATGTACACTTACTATTTTGTGAGTTAGATGCACTAAATGATTTTTGCTTTCTTGCATGTTTTTGAAAGAGCAGACCTATCTTATATGGGGAAGCATGTGAAAACATGTTACCCATTAAAATGTTTGGGATAGGTAGGAAGAAACTGTGTCTTTTAGCCCAAAAAGAAATTAAATAACTGATTGGCCATGGTAAATTAGTAATAGTAAATGGGCGGGGGGGGGGGGGGGGGGTAAGGTCAGTTTTTTTTTCAAAAAACCCTTTAGCACACACAATTTTTAATATTTTTTATACACTTAAAACAAATTTGAGGGGGGGGGGTAACCCTCAAAACCGAATATAACCTTATCTAATCGGGGCAGCGCCAGGAGCGTCACAACGTGACGGACATGTGCGCTATATAAGAAGCCACCATTATTATTATTATTATTATTATTATTATCAAATGTACTTCTATATATTTATCCTACAGCGAAGTGTCTCCCCCCCCCCCCCTCGTTCGCTTCACGTCTCAGTTCTCACAATATTAATAAATCAGGATGATTCATGGCAACGAGTCACGAGTCGACCGAATAGATAAAACTTCGCAATAGTTGAGATCCCGATAGCATATTTTTTTTTAGTGGTGTTTGTTTTACCTGACTGCTAAGAAAGCATAAATACTTGTTAGTAAGCAACCAGACGGCCGACGGCTTTAAGTCCTCTCCGAGGGACCTACTCGTTCGGACAAGAGGCCCTTACAGGTTACAGCCCTCTCCCGAAAATGTGCCCGTACGATATTTATATACGAGGGATGGAAAACAAATCTTAATTGATGAATTTTGGAATGGGGTGACTCAAAACTTTTTTAAACCGGTGCCTTGACTAAAACAAAAATTGAAAACGCTGATCTAGTCACTGGTGCCCCCCCCCCATGTCTGAGCCCACGCTACCCCACTGCACGTCTAGATAAATAACGTAGAAAACGTAGAGAAACAGAAACGGGCGAGGTTGGGGGGGGGGGGGTAGTGATGGTCGCCTACCAGAAAATTTTACTTTTATTGTTTGCCATATGTACTCTACCATATCTTATATTGGAATCTCACACACGTGTAATCTCGGAGTTTTACATGTTTTTGATCAGAAAGACGGATATATAAATCCATGAATCCAAAAATGAGCTTATTGATATAAGTCATCGATTCGTTAATTTATTTGCAACCCCAACGGTGTGAAAATCAACGGAAATCATCGGTGTTTCTGCAGCTGCAGTCTGCGTCTTTGCAACCTGAACAGAACACTCGTCTATTTACACGCCTCATCCTCGGCGTGGACAGAGACAGCGTAGGGGTCTATCCGACCACTCATATTCGACTAATGTGAATAATTGTACACTTTGACTTTCATCATGAATCAACAACAGCAGCTTCAGCTTTTGGCTGAATTGGAAGTAGAGATGATGGCAGATATGTACAACAGGTTAGTTTGGGCAGAGCCGCATTGACTTTCAAACAAGATTTGCAGACAAGAATCAGTTAAATTTTAGTTGGTCAAATATTTTTTTTAAAATTTACTGACCATGCATGACTTATAGTTTTTCCCCTCCTAAGTCTAATAGTAGTAAGAGTATGAAGACAGTATAATTAATACATAATATTTTTGAAGGTGTCCGATTGTACCCAAGAAAAACCCACTCCAGCAAAGCATAGAGAGCACTGCATGCTTGCTGTGACTGTGAGGCAGGTATTTATACACCCATACACAAATATACACACCACACAATTTCGCATAGACTGTACACAATCATGTCGATGCAGATAAGTGTAAGCAAAGTTTGACACTAGACTTACAATTATCCTTTTTAACATCAGGAAGTTAAAAAAAATGTATAATTTTACTGCTATTTAGGTGTCATCAGTTGTCACTAAAGTACCGATTTTGAGTGAAATCAGTTGAGTTTCGTACAGTGGTGTTTGAAATGTTGAGTATCAAAAGCACAGCTTTTACTACACAGCCTGGATATTGATGCTCCTATGTGTGGAAAAACCCAGGGGCTCGTTTCTCGAAACCAATGACAATTAAGACAGTCACTCATAACTTTATCCGCCAATGCAGCTATAGAGATGTCTCTGATCTTCCTAAACAGTTTCACAAAGAGCTTACTACTAGCTAGACATTTTGTGCAATTGATACTATTATTGGCACGCGAGAAGAGGAGCCAAGACATATACATAGCCTTAGTTACAATTCCACCAGATTAAAAAAAGTAATTTTACTTTTTAGGAATCTTGCAATTATTTAAATAGATTTAGATCTAAATTAGTCTAGGTATACAAAAAAAAGATTGAAAATAGTAGTTAGTAAACTTAGTACATGTACATCAAGGGAATAAGAGATGCAATATACTTCAAAATTTGTGTAGACTATACCATAGAATTACTTGTAAAGTATAATTGTGAGTATCTCATTTCAAGACTGGTGAATCAGTTTTGTTTTTGAGATGGGTACCCCCCGAATATTTTCATTTGATAGTTTTTAAAAATCCACCCTTAGGCCTATATCATTCTGAGTAAAAATACGATGTTATGATATTTTTGTCCAATGTTTTAAGCAAAACCACAATATAAAAATGAGGAAACTGCAACATTCCAATTGTTAAAAGTACATGTGTTTTTAATGTTTTTAAACTATTTGAAGCAGACAAAACCAAAAAACAAAACATTTGAAGATTAATATGGGTCTGAAAAACTATATGATGGCGCTGCCCATCGATTCAAAGGTGATGATAGAGCTTTGACAGGGTTATTTCAGTCAAAACTACTTAGACAGGATGTTTTCCTTGGATCTTGGCAAAGAGGGATTCATGAAAGACGTAGCCGACAAGTAGTTTTAGTCAAGAACTTAGAAGTAAGATTTATAACGGTTTCAAGAAACTGGCCCCAGGCCTTCATGTAGGCCTAGCTTATCAGAAAATTTTGAGAGGATCAAATCTGATATTTTGTTCAAATTTTTTGCCCCCCCCCCCCCCTGACTATTTGAGATCGAAATATATGTAGTATTAAAACTGGGAGACTTTATAGTGAATTAAAAAAAAAAAATCATAATTCTATTTTTTTATCATTAGTTCCTTTATTCCTTTTGCATTTTATCTGTCAGAATGACCGTTGCCTGTCAGAAGAAGTGTATAGCACCGACATACAAGGAAGGTGACCTTTCCAAAGGAGAAGCTGTCTGCCTGGATCGCTGTGTCGCTAAGTACCTGGAGGTTCACGAGAGCATCGGCAAAAAGTTAACCGAGAAGTCTGCTCAGGACGAGGCCACGATGAAACAAATGCAAGGACAGAGTTAGTGATGGCCTCTAGTCAGCCAGTGTTAAAGATGAGAGAGAAAGTGCGTAAGTTCTAGGTGCGGACATCTGGCAGTCTATCATCTCCGTGGCAAGATGGGCATGGGGGACGTTGACATCAGTGCTCGGGGCAGTTTATCTACCAGTTTGGAGGATGCATTGCTGATATGTGGGGAGTTAAAGAAGAGAGGAAGATGACTGAGGCATGAAACTCCAACCCAGACTGACTTTGATAATTATATGCTTTGCAGAGCTATCTCTGCAGCAGGACTATTATTCATTAGTTTGTTATACTTCATTTACAGATTACTATTTAATGAATGTTTAATTGCAATGTTCATGCGATGTTCATCTTATGAAAACAAACCTTGAACGAAATGAATAAGGTGTCTACCTGTCACTTCCTGTTCATTTGGTAGGATGTTAGTAAAATAATATACAAATATGGACTGCTTTAAGGGGCACAGTTGAAACTATACCCCAAGGTAATCACGACACTGTACTGTATCTTTCATTGCCTTTTTGGATTATCAAAAAGGCAATGAAATAAAGTTTCTGTTAAAAATGTATTTGAATTTTACCATATACCCGGTCAATATTTTCTGTTATACTACCCAGCAGTCTGTACTGAATTTCATACCTGCAGTTTTGACCAATCAGAGGCCTAGAATCTGTACATGTGGTGGATAAAAGACACTATATCATGTTCCAATGTTGTCCAGAAATTGAACTTCATAGGCTGGCGTATTATAATTGTAGTTTGGCAACAAGTAGTGTATGCAGACGGGATTCCAAGTACTGTAGTTCATTTATCAATAAAAGGTAAGCGGACATTTTTTTTTTTTTGGAGTCCCAAAAAAAATCACAACGACTAAGCCAGCTGAAAAGTCGCTCATGGGGGGGGGGGGGGGGGGGGGGTACCCGGGCCCGGGCCCCCCCCCCCTGGATCCGCCACTGCTATTCAGTACAATACAGTGATCAGTGATTACACTCCAATAATCTGCACTTTTCTTACATTTTCAATAGTTTTACACTCCATGTATCTTAATGTTAACATTAGTTTTTTAATTCAATGACAAAATTTGATAGATTCGTAATCATAAATTGATATTAACAGGGAGTATTAATAGATATTGAATATCTGTGTCATTGTAATTGATGTTTGAAGAAAAAAAACTTTTTATTAGAGGTTAAATCATCATTATTGTTGTAATAACTGTGTTTTGAGAAGGAAATATATGAAACTACATAACATTATCAAGAAGTTTAATTTTTGTTATAGTCATGTCATGTTTAGCTTTGATAATGAAACTGCTTTCAAAAGGAGTAATTCTAAATTATTGTCCACCACATAGGTGAGAGAAGTTTAGATTCTGGCCAATTTAATTTGTAATAATCTCCACCACCACGAGCTCCCCCTAGTACTACAGTAGCTGCAAGCCGAAAATGATGTAATCCCGAAATGTCTACACCCGGCTCAGCTGGGCATATCATCGATGCGGACGGATTCGTGGATCACGCCATCTTCGGCAGGTACATGTATGTGATGGGAGAGATCGCGAAATATAATAACACCGTCCAGATTCTGGACTAGGGTGAGAAGAAGAGACAGTGAGAGAGATAGAGAGTGTGTGTGTGTGTGTGTGTGTGTGTGTGAAAGAGAGAATGAGAGAGAGTGTGTGTGTGTGTGTGTGTGTGTGTGTGTGTGTGTGTGAAAGAGAGAGAGAATAAAAATACCACTACAAACAATTATTTTATTTAAATCAAGTTGAATAACATGCCGGTAAAGAGTTACTATTATACAAGTCCATAGCCCTAAATTTTTGAAAGGAGCCACATCGTGTCACCATGCCTATATTAAATGATAAATTACATATCAAATCTTGCTAAGTTCACTCCAAAAATATTTTCCTTTTAATAGACGCAGAAAAACAAGAGAAACAGAGCAAAACAAATTTGAGTAAAATCGATTAACTAATAAGGAAGTCGTGAGTTTTCTTTTAAGTTTGACAAACTATGGAACTTAGAAAATCACTACACAAATTGCCAAATTGGTTTTATCAATTCGTCATTGGCTCACTATCATCAATTGCTTTATATATTTATTCCATCAATTTCCCTTTTTATCCCCACAAACTTGATTTCCTCATACCCAGGTTATATGATTTGTATCATATTGCGCGCATGACATTTCACAAAATTTATCATCCATAATCATTGGTTTTTGTATAAATAGTTAATCAAAATTCATATTTTTCATGATTTTATCCCCCCCCCCCCTTGTCTGAATTCAGTTTCCCATTCCCGCGCGAATCGCGGAAGCTTAGACGTTTCATTTAACTATTAGAGAAAGAAGACAATTTGTGGTACTGTTCTTGACTCTTAATCCTAGTCTGAAGTATCTCCCTTTCGCGCGAAGCGCGTAAGCTTCGACTTTTCCTTAAATTATTATAGAAAGAAGCCCGCCCCCTACACTCAGTGTTATTTAGGGTACGCATATGCGTGTTCCTCCTTTTGAAAACACCCCCTAAGTCCGGTATGTAAAGTCAATTGTGTATGTACGAGCCGGACTTTGGTGCGTGAAAGTACCCCTTTACCGGACATTTTGGTGGTAACCCGACACATGCTCCGCCGACGATTGCTCCGCCGACATTTACTCCGCAAAACGCGACAATTGCTCCGCGACATTTGCTCCGCGACATTTGCTCCGACGTCAAATGCTCCGCCGACAGTTGCTCCGCCGACAGTTGCTCCGCCGACAGTTGCTCCGCCGACAATTGCTCCGCCGACAGATGCTCCGCCGACAATTGCTCCGCCGACAATTGCTCCGCCGTCAATTGCTCCGCAAAACGCGACAATTGCTCCGCCGACATTTGCTCCGCCGACATTTGCTCCGCCGACATTTGCTCCGCCGACAATTGCTCCGCCGACAATTGCTCCGCCTGAAGCGACAATTGCTCCGCCGACATTTGCTCCGCCGACATTTGCTCCACCGACATTTGCTCCGCCGACAATTGCTCCGCCGACAATTGCTCCGCCTGAAGCGACAATTGCTCCGCCGACATTTGCTCCGACGACATTTGCTCCGCCCAAAAAGTGTCCCATAAACTACAAATGCTACTAGTACTACGACAAATGCTTCGCCGACAATATTTTCTTTACACCTATTTTTTTCGTTTCTTTTTTTCTTCTTCATTTTCTGAATGCATTTCTTGAAATAATGTAGATGAAATGAAATGAATGAATGTTGATGAAGTGGGAGGAAAAAGGAGTTACCTAAAAGTCATTTCGAATATACTGAAATAACTTTCCATCTATCACTGTACGTCCCATATAATGTATACTAAACACTCATTACATGTCGTGGGAAGTTTTTTTTTTAAAGTAGAGCAGCAAGCCACATTCCCCAATACGCGCATACCTCCTAGTTAATTTCAAGTAGCTCATCAATATGTAATACCTGAAATTACCTCGATCAATGCATCTTACTAGGTAAAGCATTATGTAATAGGTCATCATGGAAGTTTAGAAAATAAGTAAGGGGGATTTACCAAGTGTTGATCTTTTTAAGAGTTTTATAAAGAAACAAAAAGATATTGAATATTTCTCAGCGAAAAAAAGGAACAAGCTCGTTTCGCATTTTAAGAAATGGCGATTTGACTTATGATACTCATGTTGATTTAACTTTTATTCCTGTGCCCCCTCACTCCCCTTTATGCACTGGAGTTCAAACTATGATTTATATGTGTACAGTGTATTTTTTTTTACTATAATGTTTTTTTTTTATAACTTTCTTGTCCTTTCATTATTGTTAGTTGTTCTTATACATATTGGTTTTTTTGTTTGTCTAATTATTACCAATGACTTGTAAATATGTAATTTTTATATGATTGAAAATTTAATAAACACACAAATATAAAAAAAAAGTTTAGAAAATAAGGGCACTTATATACGTAAGGAAGAGAACCCATTCAGACGGGAAAATGAGATGGCAGCCTTTCTGCTTATTCACATTTATACAAATCATTTTGTTGCAGTTTGATGTTAGTTCTTCATGATAAGCCAATTGCTCTTCTTCCGGTGGCTTCGTGAGTCCCTTAAATTATTTAGTGAAAACAAAGTACTCGAATGAAACGGAGTGTTTTGCACACTAACATATATATATTAAAGCTACATACACTTAACTAAAGGAAAGAAACCTTTAGAAAATGGACTGGATATTATTGAAAATATTATTCTAAACAAGAATGTACTACATGATTGTATTACTTTACGTTTCAATTTCACGAGAGAAATAGAACTCGAGAGGGGGAGCAGAGAAGAAGTGATGGAAATGAAAGAAGACTAATAGCATGAGAGGAAAGAAAAGAGCAAAGAAGACAAGAAAACGGTGTAAACAGGAAAAGGAGGAGCATGGGAGAGAGAGAAAGAGAGAGAGAGAGAGAGAGATAGCCTTGAGCTTTGGATCAGCTAATGAGTAATACATGAAACAGATTTGAGCGGAGTAATTATCTTTCGCCGGAGAACTTGCGTAAGGAGCTATAATTTTATTTTTTATTTTTTTAAATCAAACATTATGGGGAATAGCAAAAAACGGTTGTCTTTTTTGCTCTTTTCTTTCCTCTCATGTTATTAGTTTTCTTTCATTGAGGTAATTTCAGGTCTTACATATTGATGAGCTGTTTGAAATTAACTAGGAGGTATGCGCGTATTGGGGAATGTGGCTTGCTGCTCTACTTTAAAAAAAAAAAAAACTTCCCATGACATGTAATGAGTGTTTAGTGTACATTATGTGGGACGTACAGTGATAGATGGAAAGTTATTTCAGTATATTCGAAATGACTTTTAGGCAACTGCTTTTTCCTCCCACATTATCAACATTCATTCATTTCATTTCATTTACATAATGTCATGAAATGCATTCAAAAAATGAAGAAAAAAAGAAAGAAACAAAAACAACCCGTGAAAAAAAAATATTGTCGGCGAAGCATTTGTCGTAGTACTAGTAGCATTTGTATTTAATGGGACACTTTTTGGGCGGAGCAAATGTCACCGGAGCAAGTGTCGCTTCATGCGGAGCAAATGTCGTCGGAGCAATTGTCGGCGGAGCAAATGTCACCGGAGCAATTGTCGCTTCAGGCGGAGCAATTGTCGGCGGAGCAATTGTCGACGGAGCAATTGTCGGCGGAGCAATTGTCGGCGGAGCAAATGTCGTCGGAGCAATCGTCGGCGGAGCATATGTCACCGGAGCAATTGTCACTTCAGGCGGAGCAATTGTCGGCGGAGCAATTGACGGCGGAGCAAATGTCGGCGGAGCAAATGTCGGCGGAGCAAATGTCGGCGGAGCAAGTGTCGCTTCAGGCGGAGCAAATGTCGGCGGAGCAAATGTCGGCGGAGCAATTGTCGCGTTTTGCGGAGCAATTGACGGCGGAGCAATTGTCGGCGGAGCAATTGTCGGAGGAGCAATTGTCGGCGGAGCATCTGTCGGCGGAGCAATTGTCGGCGGAGCAACTGTCGGCGGAGCAACTGTCGGCGGAGCACCTGTCGGCGGAGCATTTGACGTCGGAGCAAATGTCGCGGAGCAAATGTCGCGGAGCAATTGTCGCGTTTTGCGGAGTAAATGTCGGCGGAGCAATCGTCGGCGGAGCATGTGTCATGGAACCATTTTGGTAACACACATGCGGTCTTTCCGACCCCGAAGTGGGGGGGGGGGGGGGGGGGGGGGGGGGAGAAAACGATCCGTTGTTCCGTTCTTAACTCTTAATCCTTGTCTGAATTTAGTTTCTCCCATCACGCGCGAAGCGCGGAAGCTTTGACGTTTCCTTAAATTATTAGAGAAAGAAGACGATTCGTGGTATCGTTCTCGACTCTAATTAATCCTTGACTGAATTCAGTTTCCCCGAAAAAATAACTTTTGTCTTCTGATTTCTTTTGAATTCAGTTTCCCCTCAGTCCCCTCCCCTCTCAGGCTCTTAGGCCTACCTCCCCATCTCCTCTATTTTATCCCCCGATTCTTTGTTTCCTTTTTCTCTTTTTCTTTCTTTTCTTTCTTTTTTTTTTCTTTCCTCTTCTCCCTCTTTTCTATTTTCTCTTATAATTTGCTCTTTTTCCTTTCTTTTTCTTTCTTTTCTTTCTTTCTTTTCTTCCCCTTTCCCTGTATTTTTTTCCCTCCCCCTTTTCTCATTTTCCTCGACGGCATTGCAGTTTACCGACAATATCCTGACAGGTGGGGGGGGGGGGGGTGTGTCGCACCCCTATCCCCCCCCCCCCCTTGGAGACGCCCCTGTCCTTACTTCCGTACAAATTCTGATGAAGATCGTCGTCGTCGATAATTTGACCTGGCGCTTCCCTTCAGCCTTGCGGTGATTGGATGTAATGACAAACTAGCCATATCGCACAGCAAATTTGCTGAGGTTAATTGTCTCTAGAATTTCCGTCCATGGTGTTCGAAATGTTACCATAACGATAGAGAGATTTTTTTTATCCACATAATTATGTATGTGTCATATGTGAGTGGTTCGGACAATTGACAGAAGTCCCACTTTAAAAAAATAAATAAATAATAATGATGACAAAATAAAGACCGTTAGTGGTAAAATTGCTGTTCAAGGGTTGTAGGTGCACAATTTCCATTCAATATTGTTTAAATATTGCCTTCAGAGGTTTAGATGGCAATACTTCAACCTAAATTCGCAAAAAAGCAGAAATATATGCCCTAGCTGTTCAATGTTGAAGTGCATTCGCAATATATCCAGGCTGGATCGATATGATAATTTACCTAATATATCAATTAGTAGGCGGTTTCCCGGCAAAATTTGTATCATCACGTAATAGTCAAAACATATTCTTTCACATGATTGGTAACAATTAAAGAGCTTCCATTTCATTTTTTGAGAGGGGGGCGTTTCCAAAACTTGTCTTTTCGCACTTCATACTTAACATCTACCTACGCTACGGTGATCGCTGAGTTTGGAAACATCTGAAAGTTCGACCAAAATGCCAGCCCTCGAGATATTCACTAATGTTAAAGAAGATAGCATTCCAGCTGACTTCTTTCCAAATCTGTCCTCTGTATTTCAGAAAGCAATTGGAAAACCTGAAAAGGTAATAATCGCCTTGTTAAAGGTCATTCGGGATGTGTTCGGTCCCATGTGCCGCACTCGGTGTGTGTTAAACTATAATTGCAATCGTGATGTGACGCTTGATCGCGCTCGGTACGGTAGTGGGCTCTCATGGACAATTCGATACAGCTATTGTCAATCCCCAGGATTAGACTTCAATTTTATTACCAACAGGCTTTGGCGCTTGTTCAGTAAGGTATCCAAAATTTGGATACCTTACTGAACAAGCGCCCAGGCGGCAACCAATGCTTTTCATTTTCACCCATTCCCTGTAGACCCCAAAAGTAAGGTCATTTTCTTACATTTCCTTCACCGCAGGCGAAGACTTTGTTAGACTAGATTTTAACCTCACGAAAATGATCAAGCAATTTCCTAGCGAGTATAGATCTAGTGCAGTAGTGAGTGACTCTATTGTAGGACTAGGAGTATTAGGACTTCTAGATCACTAACGAGTCTTTATTTTTACTCTGAGTTTGCTTTTTGAACAGAAAAATACCCATGGCAAAACTTGCAATTTAGATGTTGTGACATTACATTTACAATATTTGACACATGCACTTTATAGCATTTATTGTTTGTGTTTTCCTCATATTGCAGTTTATCTGTATTCGTCTGGTGCCCAACCAAATGATGAGCTTTGCAGGGTCTACAGAACCTTGTGCCGTTGCGAATGTGAGAAGTATAGGGAATCTAGGACTTGAAGAAAACAAGGTCATCACCCAGATTATTACTGCAGAAATGACCAAGATTGGTGTAAAAGCTGACCGGTAAGCTCAATTTTATAAGTTGAAAAAATATATACATGAAGTCACTGATTTTTAGCTTCAGGTGAGCATTACAATTTTTTTTATTTAACAGGGTAATGTTGTCATGTCTCAAGGGTTCCAGTCTAGGGGGGATGTAAGAATTATAATATTTATTAGAATGTGATGGAATTTTAAAAAGAAATATATATCTAAAGCTTGGTTCATTATTTACATTTCCAATACATTTTTTTTCTAAAAGTGGAGATCTGTCCACAGATTGTTGCTGTAAAAACTCCTACTAATAGTGGAGACTGGAGACTTGAGAGTTTTTGTTAACATGAATGTTATAATTTATCTTCTTTTTTTCTTTACTCCCCTTTCTCTACCTCTCTTTCTCTTTCCCTCTCTGTCCTTGATTTGTCTTTGTTTCCCTTCTTTGTTTCACTCTCTTTCTCTCTCGCTTTCTTCTCTCTCTATTTCTTCTCTCTCTCTCTCTCTCTCTCTATTTCTTCTCTCTCTCTCTATTTCCCTCTCTCTTTTCCCTCATTCTTTCACTTTCTCCCTCACACTATTCTCTCTTCTTTTTTTGTATCGTTCTTTCTTACTCTACAGGATGTATGTGATTTTCAGAGACCTTGCGAGACAGGATGTAGGGTGGAACAATACTACATTTGCTTCATAATTTGAGGTTGATTTAATTTCATATTTTGATTAGGGAGGATTATGAGTCTTCAGTATTACTATTCAATTTATTAGTGTAATTGTGATAGCAAAGACTTTTCAGAAACCAACTCAAATTTTGATTACCCTCCTGTAGGCAGTTGAAAGATCAGACGGACAGATGAATAAGAGTTCATTGCAGACAGTTTTCATGAAAAAGAGGCCATCTTGAAAGTGTTTTATTCCAGTATTCCTCCGCCAAAGACTTTTCCTTCCTGTTTAATAGGCACCAGTCATTGCGATGGAATGGATTCATATCCCACCGCTGCATGCCACCATGTTGAATGATGAAATGAACTGATAAATAAGAGCTCATTGCAAACAATTCTTATGAACAGGGCTCAAATTAATTTTTTGTCCACGGGGGCTCTTCCCCCCAAAAAGAGCCCCCGTGAGCCTTCTCACGGGGGCTCTTTTAGTACTGACGGGGGCTCTTTTTGTATACAAAAATCCATCGAATTGGTACCTATGATACTCCTCAATTATTTGCTATTTCATCATTATCATTTCAATCAGCATTTTCCCTCTTACAAATTTACAAGCTACATAGCTGTTACTGGCTTGTGTATATAATATATACGCATACAACACTGATCTTTATGATATCTTTAACCTGACATATCTTCTTCTCCCCTTGCAAACGAGAAAGAAAACAAGGTCATTAAAAAGGGATAAAGCGACAAATAATGATTGTGATTCAAATTGATGCGAATATTTGTTTGAATAAGCACTGCTATTCACCCGAATCTTCTTTGTAAAAACAACTTTTACAAATCTCAGCCATGCTTACTGAGTTGAGACGTTCCATTCAATGTAAAATACTCATTAAAGAATACACTTCTCTTAATCTGAAAGTGATTTTACAACACAGTGGCAGATTTGCATGGCTGAGATTTGTAAAAGTCGTTTTTACAAAGAAGATTCTGGTGAAAAGCATTGCTTATTCAAAAAAAAAATCCTTGCATCAATTTTAATCACAATGATTATTTGTCACATGATCCTTTTATTAAATAACCTTGTTTTCTTTTTTGTTTGCAGTGTTTGCACTGCGAGCTGAATCGGTAATAACCATAAAACGAGAAATCTTGCACGCTAATCTAAGTTCCATTTCATTGGTTTAAGGTTTAAAAATTGAAACTCAATATTGTGTTAAAGTTATAACAGAAAAAATAATCTTTATTTTATAATTCCACGGGGGCGATTTTTAATTTTGCAATCGCCCCCGTGAGCAACCTGACGGGGGCGATTATGTAGCTCACGGGGGCGAATCGCCCACCGCCCCCGTGTATTTTGAGCGCTGCTTATGAATAAGTGGCCATCTTGAAAGTGCTTTATTCTGGTATTCTAATGTATTGCTAATGGAAGTCAAATTTTGATGTGGACAATAAATTTGAATCTGAAATCTGATTCTTGAATCTTCATTGCAGTGATAAAGAATGAAGTTGTATAATTGGAAATCTTGTTAAAGGTACTATGTCCCATTTGCAGGCCAAACAAATAAAAAGGTAAAATTCCAACGGCATTTGAAAGATAATACTAATGTAGAACTTCCCTAAAAAAGGTGGGGCTTGAAAATGTGGGAAAATAACGACTTTTAGTTGTCAAATCGACTTAGGAGCTATAGAGCCAATAAGTAATAGTCTTGATTTTCAGACCATTGTACTGAATGGTCATACATTTTATGATGCGCAAAGATTCATTCAGTTTAATTTTGGCCATCACAAGAAGTGGGTTATTGATGTAGACAAATGCTCATGTACCCTTTACAGCTCATTTTATGTATGTTATTACCAAAGAAGAAAAAAGCCAGTCAGTCACTCAATAGTGTCTGACAGTGAAGTCTAGCAAGTAAACGGGTTTCCTTGCATAATTTGAATATTAGGACACTGCTAACGTTTAAATTTCACAAATAGGACATACATGACATATTTATAATTCCTGCAAAGTTCTACAGAATTTGAGTTTAGCTGCAAAAAGGACATAGTACCTTTAAGACAATCCCTTGGAAGTTGTATGACATATGCTGCAGCACAAAATATATGTTGGCTATTGACCTATAATGTTGGCTTATTTAAAAATACGATGGACAAGGCCATTGTAAGCATTTGCGATCGTGTTATGAACAATAGGATCATGCCATAGGGAGATTTTGACCGTCTTTTAATCAATAAAAAATACTTTCGTTTAATATTTTTAATATCATAATCTTGGAGGTATAAGTTGACCACGAGACCATGAAACTATGACCACGAATTAATTTATTGCCCTTAGCACATGATATATGATGTTATTATTTATATTTGAATGTCTACAATGCATGTAATTCTAATGGAAGTCAAATTTTTATGTGGACAATAAATTTGAATCTGTAAATTTTGATTCTTGAATCTTTATTGCAGTGCTATAAAATGAAGTTGTTTAAATAGGAAATCTTGATTAACAAAATCCCTTACAAGTTGTACGGCATATGCTTTGGCGATAAATATATGTGGGCTATTGACCAAACTAACGGTAACCACAATGTCCATTTCAACCCTGGCCCAGACACTTTATCTTACCCAAACCCTAAACCTAAACTTCTAAACATCTAAAAACCAAATTGCATTTTCTTTGACAAATTAAAGCCCAGGGCAATTATTAAAGCAGCATAATATGGTGCTTAGAACACTGATGGGAAACTGGCCTTCTATATCACTTGGTGGCTTTCTTCGTCTTTCTGCACTCTCGCTCGTTTGACACACGTGCAGTTTTGCACAAAACAGTCATTACCATTTGATGGAAGGATTGTCATTTCTTTTTTTGGTTGGTTCCATGACAATTACCCTTTTAACCTCGGGTATAGAATAAATTATATCAACCATGAGATGAAAAATATAATAAGCAGTGGTGATGTCACACATTTAATGGAACATGCATATACATGTATCTGTCAAAAACCACTTGACAAGTTGTCATCACTCATTGCTACATGTAGCACCTCTGCAAGGTGGGAATAAATCCACATCGGAGTGGTTCAGCAAAATTATTGTATCATGTTTAATTGGTACACCACCGAATATATTACGATTTCTCATATTATATTTGGGTTTAATCACGAATGCACTGTAAGTGGGGGAGGGGGAGCAGCAGCCCTGTGCTCCATGCCCACAAAAGAAGAAAGAGAAGGAAATGAAAAGTAGAAAAATGGGAGAAAACAAGAAAAGAAAAAGCATAATTTCCAATCTTTGTTCATCAATGTTTATTGTGCCGTATGTGGTAGCAATTGCTTGTGCTAGCCTTTTGCTTAGGTATAATATAAGCAATTGTTTGCAAGGAAAAGTTTTTGTTGGCAAGCACAAGCCATTGCTTACCACCTACAAGCAATTTAAACATTAAAAACTTATTTGTATGCATACGGTCCTTTGTGTAATTATGCTCTAGGATTAATCTATACAATCAAGCCAGGCTATATTTTGCAGGGCCTTATATGCTTTGCATTTTGATAATTTATCTACTTGCCATATTAAAAATTTATACCTAGAGAAAAAAAATCATTTTAATTCATTTGTTCTACGAGCTGTCGGCTATACAGTAACATTGTAACTAACGATTTTTTTTGTACATGATAATTTATTTGGGGTTGGTACACGATAATAGTAAAAATGATATTGAGAAAAAGAATGATAAAATTGATGTCCATGATATCATGCTATTACTCTCTCTCTCTCTCTCTCTCTATCTCTGTTGTTAGTGGAGTAGTACCCATGAGGCTTGCAGAGGGGTGGCACCAGGATTTTGTAAGCGGTGGCCACTCCCCAGAAAAGTCTGGCAAGGATAATGAAGAAGAAGAAAAAAAAAAGAATAAGAAGGGGGAAAAGGGAGAAGAAGGAGAAGAAGCAAAAAGTTACCACCACCGAATGGGGGGAGGGGTAGTAATCAAACATAAGGGGGACGCGGATCCATTACACACACACACACACCTATGACAAGTTTTTTTAAGTGAGGGGGGGGGGGGGCTAGTCAGGAACCTACGACAACCCCTCGGATCCGACCCTGATTCCAATACACGTATCAATCTTTGAACTACACATACATTTTTATCCCCTAGTTCGACATTTAGTTAGCAATTACATTTGATGTGGTATGAATTAATAAAAGTATCCATTAACACATATATCTGTGCTCTCTTTGGAATTTGATCTTAACTTTTATGAACTATAAGCTGATAAGGCGGTTGCCGGAGATCGAGCAGGGTCAATAATCCCAAACTTCTTCATAGGGCACGTTTCATCATTTTGTTTTGTACAAAAAATTCAGAAGTCAATATAAGTTTTGCTACCTTTCCTTTCAAAAGGGACTCACCTATTCATGATGATCCTTGAAATACGCAGCGTCACCCCTGATTGAATGGATTCAATGTATTCTTTCATTCCAGATAACAATTTAAATAGAATGGGTTGCCACTTGATATAGTACAAGACTCTAGATTTAAAGTACATGAACTCTGTCGTAGATATACCTTGATTGATTGATTTTTTATTCGACAAGCTTCCAACATACAACAATATACAATAATAACAGATCAAAAAAAGTCAGCTTGAACAGGATAACCCACGAAAGCTCGAGAGCTTATTTCCAGTGGGGTCCCTTACAGACATGTATAAAATTAATAAGTTAAAATAGTAATATTTACAGACAGATAAGAAAATTAAAAGAACTACTCATTAAAGATAATAATAATAATAACAACATTAAACTGATGATAGAAATGATATTAAGTACAAGAAGAAAAAGAAGAAGGAGAAGAAGAAAAAGAGGAGAAGGAAGAAGAGGAAAATAATGATGAATTTGTAGAATTTCTATAACGTACGAAAACATAAGTATATACAACATGAAAAAGTATGAACCGACAGAAGAATAAAAATTTCAATCATATAACATGTCATTCACTTCTCTTCTCTGACTGTCAAGTATTAGGTATTCCTTTAATTTCCTCTTAAAATGATCATAGTTTCCTATTTCTTTTACACCATTGGGAAGGGAATTCCAATGTTTTATGGCATTGTAATAAAACGAATTTCCAATACTACCTACTCTTTCAGGTAAGTTAAAGTTGAATCGTCTATTTCTTGTATTATAATCATGTACGTCAGTAACAAGATCGAAGTTGGATCGAATATAATGATTCGACCTAGTATGATATATTTTATGCACATGATGCAATACGAGTTGTTTTGATCTTTGGTCGACTTCAAGAAAACCAGCTTTAGAAAGTTCGCTGTAGCCAACATGAGTTCTTGGACCAGAACAGTTGATAAATCTCACCATTTTGTTCTGTATAATCTTCAACTTCTTTTGATCTGACTTGTTTATGTTACTATACCATGCAGGGTTAGCATAGTCAAATAAACATTGAATAAGAGCAAAACAGAGTGTACGTCTTGCTTTTAAATCCATACAACTTTGATATCTGTACAAAAATATCAGACGAGAATTTGCTTTTTTTACAACTGATTCTACTAAGGATGAAAATGAAATTGCGCTAGCCAACTCAATGCCTAAATACTTCACAGACTCTTTTCTCTTGATTGCTTGATTATTGTGTGTCACTTTGAATTCAAATGACTTTTTAGAACTACTTTTAGAACAAAATAAAATGCTTTCTGTTTTTCCCAAGTGTAAAGAAAGCTTATTATCAGTCATCCAATCGACACACGTAGACAGCTGTTCACTGAGCTTTTCCTCAATATATTTAGGATCAGGATTTGAATAGAGTAGTACGCTGTCATCTGCGTACAATAATAGTTTAAAGTCTTTTATACAAATACACATATCATTTATATAACTTGAAAATAGAATTGGGCCTAAAATGCTTCCCTGAGGAACACCGCAAGTTATAGGCATTAGTTTGGAACGAATATCATGAATGGCCACTACTTGGTGCCGATTAGATAAATAGGATCTAAACCAATCTAAACTTCCCTTATCAAAACCCATTAGTTGTAACTTCTTCAATAAGACGCAATGATTAACTGTATCAAAAGCTTTTTGCAGATCAAGGAGCACCATACCAACAAAGCGCCCTTGGGAAGTTTCTCTCCTCAAATAATCAGTCAAATGAATTAGACATGTTTCAGTCGAATAATCATGTCGAAAACCAGATTGAAATTCATAAATTATATCATTTTCTTTGAAGTATCTTTCAATTTGAACACAGACCGATTTTTCTAGAATCTTTGATGCTACGCTTAAAACACTAATAGGTCTATAGTTGCTAACATCAGTTTTATCTTTCTTTTTATAAAGTGGAGTCACTTTTGCTATTTTCATATCCTCTGGAAAAGTACTCGTCAAGATAGATAGGTTCATTAAGTAACTTAGAGGCTTAAATAAAACCTTCGCACCATCTTTTAGAAAATTAGCTGGAATCAAGTCTAACCCAGTACTTTTTGATACATTCAACTTACGTAACTCTTTGAAAACAAATTGTTCACTGATTGGTAATAACTCGAAGCTGTTTTCACGTACACCTTTTCTTTCGTAAAAGTCACGAATACAATCATTGTCTGCGCTGAAAAAGTCTTTGGAAGGGGGGAGTTTGTCTACTAATTTGGCAGCCACATTTGTGAAATGAGAATTGAATTCATCAGCGATGGCCATCTTATCATGACATAATTCCCCATCAATTTTAATGACAGATTCTTGTTTTTTTCGCTTCTTATTTTTCAATCCTAAGCTTTTTAGATTCTGCCAAAGTTTTTTCGAATCTTGTTTATTTTCTTCTATCTTGTTTTGTAAGTAAACGAGTTTAGCCTTTTTCACCTCTCTTTGGACCATATTTCTTAATACTCTGTATCTTTTATAGAGCTTCTCATCTTTTGCTCTTTTCCTCCATTTTTTGTATACTATATTTCTCTCTTGAATTAGGGAAAGAATATCTTTAGTCACCCAAGTTTCTGATCTTTGTTTTATTCTTATCCGTTTCAGTGGCGCTATCATATTCAAATTTGAGATAAAAACATGTTGAAATATTGACCATGCCTCATTTACATCTGTACAGTCAGTTATTCGTAACCAATCAACAACAGATAGTTGAAGATTGAAAGACTCTTCTGTATATTTTTTCATGGATCTGATATCATTAGTCCTATGATGACCTATAGCCAGTCTAACATTTTTCCGTGTACAGAAAGTAAAATAATGGTCGCTAATACCTAGATCAATGACACCACTTTGACTTATTTTATTTTCTTTGGTACAACCAACATGATCCAATAGAGAAGAACATGTAGGTGTAACGCGTGTTGCCTCTTTAATGAGTTGACTAAACCCATGAAGACTCAACAAGTCAATATATTTTTTTAGCCAGTGGCGATTTGCGAAGAAGACAAATATTCATGTCTCCTAAAAGAATTATTTCGTCATCCTTCTTTAATGTATCAAGAATATTGGACAATTTCTCGATAAACAAATTGTTTTTCGGAGGTCGATACAGAACGCCAACAACAATTGGTTTTGATCTTGGTATAAGCAAATTTATCCACAGGGATTCCGTATCTCCAGTACTTATAGCATCCATAATATGAAATGCAATATCATTTTTGATATAGAAACATACACCACCTCCAGAGCCAGAGGATCGATCATGGCGTATGATTTTAAATCCGTCTATTTCAATTTCTTCATCATTTATGAAATTGTTTAACCATGTTTCAGTGAAAGCAATAATAGACAGCCTTTTTCTTTTAAAAAGAATTCTAAGTTCCGATATCTTGTTTAGAATAGACCTCACATTAAGGTGTAAAAAATGAAGACCTTTAATTTTAAACTTTTCTTCAAATTCTTGAAAAAGAGAAGTGTTTTCATCTTTGAGGTTTGGCTGAATTATTCTTGCTATCGCTTGCTTTTCAGGTGTAACGCGCGTTACCTTAAAATAGTTTTCTTTTAGTCTATCCTCGTTTTGGCTTTCTTTCTCTAAACAATCGTCAGTAAATATTGATTCACAAAAAGATGGCAGACAACATGTTGAACAATTCCACTTCTCATCAGGGCATTCATAATATAACCTGCGGTACTCTGAAAAACTGATAGCTTGACAATTAGTGTGAAACCATTTTTTACAATAAGAACACAGAAGGCCGTGTTGATTATATTTGACTGGCTTATCACAGTTCCCACAAGGGAACTTATATTTTCGACCGTCAACTATAATTTTCGGATCATCACTAGATTTTGTCAAACTTTCACTTAATTCAATACCCTTCTTACAAATTGAAGATAATTCGCCCAGTCTTTCATGTCCACCTTGGATGGTCTGAAGGCTGGTTTCAGTCGTGACCTCTGTTTGACTGCACTGAAATCCAAAGATCTCCCAGAAACAGCTTCGGCGTAGGACTTTACGGGGCTGCTTTTTTCCTCATCAGAATGAAGACTCTGGTTTTCTCGGTAGATGGCTTGATGCCGCCTTGCTCCAGTTTCACTGCCTGTAACTTGATCGGACGACCGTTGAGTCCAGCCATGGCCTCAGAATGAAGACTCTGGTTTTCTCGGTAGATGGCTTGATGCCGCCTTGCTCCAGTTTCACTGCCTGTAACTTGATCGGACGACCGTTGAGTCCAGCCATGGCCTCGTGTTGTCGATTGGTCAGCAGTGTTGATGAGGTGTTTCAGGTTGCCTGCCAAGATTCGTTGACCGGCTCTGTTGAGGTGAACGCCATCACGCCCGAGATGCTGCTCGCTGATATCATTGTAGCCTCTTGTCGATGCCCTCGCGCTGTTGGAGTCTCTAAATTCTGACGAGCGAAGCGAGTCAGAGAAACCGAGGCGCTTGCGCTGAGCGCCTCGGTTTCTCTGACTCGCTTCGCTCGTCAGAATTTAGAGACTCCAACAGCGCGAGGGCATCGACAAGAGGCTAATATCATTGTTGATGAAGAGGCCCCATCTGTTCTCGCTGGCTGCCAACTCCATCAGATAGTTGATCTCATCAACCCGCTTCTTGTCCGCTTCACTCTCCCCTCTACGATGGATGATCGTAGAGACTGAGACGTTAAACCCCTCGGCAGCAACAGACTTGCCGAGGTCTGTGATTTGGTGGCAAACTTCACCAGCACCCTCAGAGATGTTGTTGGTGCCAGCGTGGATGATCAGTTCTCCCCCTGGCTTGAGAAACTCGCAAGGTGAAGAGGTGAAGATGTCTCTCACTTTTGCACCGGGAAAAGAGACGCACTTCACGTTCTTGCTGCGGGAGAGATGTCTTCCGTCAATGTGTTTAATCAAAATAAATAAATAAAGTGTCCCATTTGTTTTACCTTAACGGGTAGCCAACATGTGTGTGCATGTGGGGGAGGGGGAGGGGCTGTATGGGGTTGGATGTGAACGTGTATAGGTATAGTACATGACTTCCTTCTCAATATATGTTATTTGTTTTTATCTTAGTTTTATAAAGGTGATCCAGTATGCGTTATGGGGCTCATAGTCTACTCTAACTATGTAAAAAAAAAATAATACATTGTTCATGTTTGAATATATGAGAGAGAAACAAAAATTGAATATTTTAATTACTTCCCCTGGATGGGAAAATAATTGGCGCATGATAAATTTGCTTTGTATTTCTGAAAAGCATGATTGCCTTGCCGGTTGCCTTGCCTCTATTAAGTTCGCGCATGATTGCCTTGCTTCTATTCGCACCTCGATTCCTCGACTTTATGAAATTTCTATACAATGGCTTCATGGGAATATTTCGATGCAGACATAAACAGAGAGAGCATGTCTGCAGAGGGGTAATCTACAGGGGCATGGGGGTACACGTGCCCCTCCCCCCTTCGGATGACAAGTTGGAAAGGGAAGGAGAAAACGAGAAAAGGGGACAGAGACAGGGAGGAATTTGACAGAAGATGCTTATTAGAGGGAGCTCTTTCACACCCTTTTTCACTTTCCTCTTATCAGTGACCTAAGAAATGCTCATTGGTGCCCCCACCCTCCTGCGCTGATATGCCACGTACGCCCTCAGTTATTAGGCGAACGAGAAGCCACTAGAATTTTTCAAATTCCAAAGAATCAACAATAAATTGCATAGCCACGATTTCCTCTACTGTGTAAATACAATATATAGCTTCCATCAAATAATTCCATACTCGTAAAGCGATTTTACTGTCAGTACGACCACACGATTTCGTTCAAGATGCCTCTTCTCCAGATTTTCACCAATGTGAAGGAAACTGACCTTCCGGCCGGCTTCTTTGCCGATCTGAGTTCTGTGTTTCAGAAAGCGATCGGGAAACCTCAAAAGGTAAAGGACGCATTGGTTTCTTTTATTTCATTTGTTTTGTCCAAACATGATTTGACGGACGAGCTTAGTTCTATAGGTATATAGATTTATCTGGAATAGTAAATAAATGTCTCTTCTTACCTTTGGACTTTAATAATAATAATAATAATAATAGCCTAATAGTCCACTCCAAATTTTATTAAACCGAAACGGAAATTCTTTTTGCCCAATTGATCGTGAGCCCGGCAGCCACTGAGCAGCGCCAGATCGACGTTGCTCTATCCCCTTATTGTTGAACGCCAAACAAGGTAGCAACAACTCCCATCTTTTAACGTCTTTTGGTATGACGCGGCCGGGATTCGAACCCACGACCTCCCTGTTGTGAGGCGGACGCTCTACTGACTGAGCCAACACTCCGGTATATATATCCATAATAATGAGCTGACATTTAAAGGGCAATCCGACTATCCGACCCTTGTAATACTCATAAGTTCATTTGTATAAAAACAGAAAAACATGATAAACAGAATGGCGAATATTTGAAATAAATCGGACCAAGAATTAAACTATGAATGTTTGAAATATGGGATCACTGATTCCATTCGAATCTCAAATTAACAGGTTGGTCAGTGTATTGTGACGTACTCGTGGTTAACTCTCCCGTTTGTCGTGTACAAAAATATCATTAATTTATGTTTTTATCCCAAGTCCTCTAAAGTGAATAGACCCTCCTGAGTCATAATCTTTCGATAAAATTGACATTTTAGTCATTTTTTGTCTTGGAACAAATGGAAAAGTAATTGTCCGCCACTACATTACAGAGACATTACCTTTTCAGCCAATTTGTTGAGCCCGGCCGTACCAATAATGAAAACGACTTTTTAAAATTCATAACTTTCTCATCTTGGGGGTCCGACTTCTTTCAAACTTTCACCAGTCTATTTCCCTGATTTGTATGCTTACTTGTAGTCTACTAGCTTGCTTTCGAGGATGGGTTTTAATTTAAGAAGCAGACATGACGAGCTCTAGGTGTCTTCATAAACTAATAGGCCTTAAACCATGACTGTGTATGGGCATGTGAAATAAGAAGGACTGATTGATATGCATGTTTTTATAAACTCTTATTGAAAACTCGACACACTTGATGAGTTGCTTTACATTTGTTTACTTTGCTCTTTTTTAGTCAGTGAGTTGCAAACATAAAGTGCTAACCTTAATGGAGAGAGAGAGAGAGAGAGGGGGGAGGGGAGCTAAACATTTCCAAAAGCGCCTTCCCTTCATCCATATTAGGGACCACATTTTCGTGAATTACTAATGTCATTTGATAATCGTTTAGATGTTTTTTTTTCTTCAAATATGATACACATGGTAGCACGTACGAGCGAGCGAGGCGAGCAAGAAAACAATTTGAGACTTTATTCGTACCAACAGCCAGTGATGGTGTATAATTTATGTATTCAAGTAACTAGTGCATAAAAAGGCGATTTTTTTTTTTTTTTTTTTAGTATTGCTCTTAAATAATAATTTGTTGGGCCGCATCAAATCGTCTCAAGGGCCAATGTGGCACACGGGTCGCGGTTGAAGAATAGCGGCTAGTATGTTCCATGAAATCACATCTAAACTGTCATAATTTGTTTGTTGGATGGTTGTTTTTCACTTGCAGTACATCTGTATTCATCTAGCTCCTAATCAGATGATGAGCTTTGAGGGAACTACGGCTCCTACTGCCGTTGCGAATGTGGTTAGTATAGGTCAACTAGGAGTGCAAGAAAACAAGGTCATCACCCAGATTATTACTGCAGAACTCGCGAAGGTCGGTGTGAAAGCTGACAGGTAAGCTAAGAACACAGTCGTAAAGACTTTCAAGAAATCAATCTAAAGCAATTTCAGTAGCCCTGTGCGTCATATTTAAAAATGGAGGAATACAACATGACTTTGAGCAGAATAACTTTAAGGGTATTGATGAACTTGCCCTTGAGCTAATTTCTCGAGAAAAAAAACATTGATCGTATTTAAGGATGATGATGATGATGATTATTATAATAATAATGAGAAAAAGGAGCAGAATTTTTCTGTCAAATTGTATTCTTGGCAGAAGAATAGTGAGGTGTTTAGGGTAAACAATCTGGTAAGCGTGCATGATTGTGATAGGAGGACTCTCATAAAAACGATACATCAGAGGGGGGAAATGATTTCAATGAATTGTGTCAATGAATTGCATTTCCACCTTCATTACCCTCTCCCTTTTATTTTCTTCTCCCCGCCCCTCTGGTTCTCTCTCTCTATCTCTCTCTCTCTCTCCCTCTCTCTCTACCTCTCTCTCTTTCTCTCACTCTCTCTCTCTCTTTCTCTCCCTCTCTCTCCTTCTCTCTCTTTCTCTCACTCTTTATATATATATATATATATATATATATATATCTTGTCATCACAGGATGTATGTAGTGTTCAGAGAGATGACCGATCAGGATGTTGGTTACAACAACACTACGTTCGCATAAACAAGTTCTTCTTCTTCTTCTTCTTCTTCGTGATGATATATGCCTCCTTCAATACTGAAGATTTTCCAGATGCCGTATGTACTCGGCCTGATTGGGGGGGGGGGGTGCAAGTTGGATCCGAAATAGAACACATCACTGCAATTCTCGATCAATTATTGTGAATCAGTCTTTATTCATAAATTAATAACAATAATCATCAATTAATAACAGTTAATCAATTCTATTGCACCATGTATTTCATATTATACACTGTCGCTCATAAAGGTGGAATATTTTAGTTATACTCCAATTTATGGCATTATTTTAAAAATAATTTAAAAATAATAGATCTAGATAATAGTACACATTCTCAGATTGTATTGAACAATAATTTGCCAACGTGTGCTTTGCGTGACTGCTAAAACATATGTACGCTACTATGCTTATCAACTAGGGGACCTATGCCCTTAAGTCATAAATGACAGTAATGAGGATTAATGCCCCACAAAAGGGCACTAATATAGCACATCGAAACGGTTTTGATCCTGGGGCCTCACAGTTACGAGGCCATTGCTTTGTCACTGAACCATGACTGTACGCAGCGGGGGCTAGGGTAGGGGGCAGTTTCCATAAATAGAATAAAAAACAGAAAATGCAATAAATTTTCAATAATTTATTGCATTTTACCCCGGTTCCAAACATAAACAAATCTTTGTGTGCCCATACCTTGAGCCATAATACATGGCCGTCCAGAGGATTTGTTTATGTTGGGGACCGGGGTAAAATGCAATAAATTATTGAAAATTTATTGCATTTTCTGTTTTTTTTAAATTTATGGAAACTGGATTCAGTCCAGGATGGGGGTTGGGGGGGGGGGGGGGGCTGAATTCAGACGAGGATTAAGAGTCGAGAACGGCACAACAAATCGTCTTCTTTCTCTCATGATTTTATGAAACGTAAAAGCTTCCGCGCTTCGCGAGGAAGGGGAGGGGGGAACTGAATTCAGACGAGGATTAAGAGACGAGAACGAAACAACGAATCGTCTTCTTTCTCTAATGATTTAATGAAACGTAAAAGCTTCCGCGCTTCGCGGGGGAGGGGGGTGGGGGGACTGAATTCAGACGAGGATTAAGAGTCGAGAACGGCACAACGAATCGTCTTCTTTCTTTAATGATTTAATGAAACGTAAAAATCTTCCGCGCTTCGAGCGGGATGGGGGTTGGGGGGGGGGGGGCTGAATTCAAACGAGGATGAAGAGTCGAGAACGGCACAACGAATCGTCTTCTTTCTCTAATGATTTAATGAAACGTAAAGACTACCGAGCTTCGCGCGGGAGGGGAGTTGGGGGGGGGGGGACTAAATTAAGACGAGGATTAAGAGTCGAGAACGGCACAACAAATCGTCTTCTTTCTCTAATGATTTAATGAAACGTAAAAAGCTTCCGCGCTTCGCGCGGGAGGAGGGTTGGGGGGGGGGGGGGACTGAATTTAGACGAGGATTAAGAGTCGAGAACGGCACAACAAATCGTCTTCTTTCTCTCATGAATTAATGAAACGTAAAAAGCTTCAGCGCTTCGCGCGGGAGGGGAGGGGGGGGGGGACTGAATTCAGACGAGGATTAAGAGTCGAGAACGGCACAACAAATCGTCTTCTTTCTCTCATGATTTAATGAAACGTAAAAAGCTTCCGCGCTTCGCGCGGGAGGGGAGGGGGGGGGGGGGGACTGAATTCAGACGAGGATTAAGAGTCGAGAATGGAACAACGAATCGTATTCTTTCTCTCATGATTTTATGAAACGTAAAAGCTTCCGCGCTTCCCGCGGGAGGGGGTGGGGTGAATGAATTAAGACGAGGGTTAAGAGTCGAGAACGGTACAACGAATCGTCTTCTTTCTCTAATGATTTAATGAAACGTAAAAGCTTCCGCGCTTCGCGCGGGAGGGGGGTTGGGGGGGACTGAATTCAGACGAGGATTAAGAGTCGAGAACGGCACAACGAATCGTCTTCTTTCTCTGATGATTTAATGAAAAGTAAAAATCTTCCGCGCTTCGCGCGGGAGGGGGTTTGGGGGGGGGGGGGGACTGAATTCAGACGAGGATTAAGAGTCGAGAACGGCACAACGAATCGTCTTCTTTCTCTCATGATTTAATGAAACGTAAAAGCTTCCGCGCTTCGCGCGGGAGGGGGGGGGGGTGGGGGGAGACTGAATTCAGACGAGGATTAAGAGTCGAGAACGGCACAACGAATCGTCTTCTTTCTCTCATGATTTTATGAAACGTAAAAGCTTTCGCGCTTCACGCGGGAGGGGAGGGGGGAACTGAATTCAGACGAGGATTAAGAGTCGAGAACGGAACAACGAATCGTCTTCTTTCTCTAATGATTTAATGAAACGTAAATCTTCCGCGCTTCGCGCGGGAGGGGGTGGGGGGGACTGAATTCAGACGAGGATTAAGAGTCGAGAACGGCACAACGAATCGTCTTCTTTCTCTCATGATTTTATGAAACGTAAAAGCTTCCGCGCTTCGCGCGGGAGGGGGGATGGGGGAGACTGAATTCAGACAAGGATTAAGAGTTGAGAACGGCACAACAAATCGTCTTCTTTCTCTCATGATTTAATGAAACGTAAAAAGCTTCAGCGCTTCGCGCGGGAAGGGAGGGGGGGGGGGACTGAATTCAGACGAGGATTAAGAGTCGAGAACGGCACAACAAATCGTCTTCTTTCTCTCATGATTTAATGAAACGTAAAAAGCTTCCGCGCTTCGCGCGGGAGGGGAGGGGGGGGGGGGGGGACTGAATTCAGGCGAGGATTAAGAGTCAAGAACGGAACAACGAATCGTCTTCTTTCTCTCATGATTTTATGAAACGTAAAAATCTTCCGCGCTTCGAGCGGGAGGGGGGTTGGGGGGGGGGCTGAATTCGGACGAGGATGAAGAGTCGAGAACGGCACAACGAATCGTCTTCTTTCTCTCATGATTTCATGAAACGGAAAAGCTTCCGCGCTTAGCGCGGGAGGGGGTGGGGGTGAATGAATTAAGACGAGAGTTAAGAGTCGAGAACGGTACAACGAATCGTCTTCTTTCTCTAATGATTTGATGAAACGTAAATCTTCCGCGCTTCGCGCGGGAGGGGGTGGGGGGGACTGAATTCAGACGAGGATTAAGAGTCGAGAACGGCACAACGAATCGTCTTCTTTCTCTCATGATTTATGAAGCGTAAAAGCTTCCGCGCTTCGCGCGGAAGGGGGGATGGGGGGAGACTGAATTCAGACAAGGATTAAGAGTCGAGAACGGCACAACAAATCGTCTTCTTTCTCTCATGATTTAATGAAACGTAAAAAGCTTCAGCGCTTCGCGCGGGAGGGGAGGGGGGGGGGACTGAATTCAGACGAGGATTAAGAGTCGAGAACGGCCCAACAAATCGTCTTCTTTCTCTCATGATTTAATGAAACGTAAAAAGCTTCCGCGCTTCGCGCAGGAGGGGAGGGGGGGGGGACTGAATTCAGACGAGGATTAAGAGTCGAGAACGGAACAACGAATCGTCTTCTTTCTCTAATGATTTAATGAAACGTAAAAAGCTTCCGCGCTTCGCGCGGGAGGGGAGGGGGGGGGGGGACTGAAATCAGACGAGGATTAAAAGTCGAGAACTGAACAACGAATCGTCTTCTTTCTCTCATGATTTTATGAAACGTAAAAAGCTTCGGCGCTTCGCGCGGGAGGGTTTTTTTTTTGGGGGGGGGACTGAATTCAGACGAGGATTAAGAGTCGAGAACGGCACAACGAATCGTCTTCTTTCTCTAATGATTTAATGAAACGTAAAAGCTTCCGCGCTTCGCGCGGGAGGGGGGTTGGGGGGGGGACTGAATTCAGACGAGGATTAAGAGTCGAGAACGGCACAACAAATCGTCTTCTTTCTCTCATGATTTTATGAAACGTAAAAGCTTCCGCGCTTCGCGCGGGAGGGGGGAGGGGGGGGAACTGAATTCAGACGAGGATTAAGAGTCGAGAACGGCACAACAAATCGTCTTCTTTCTCTCATGAATTTATGAAACGTAAAAAGCTTCCGCGCTTCGCGCGGGAGGGGGTATTGGGGGGGGACTGAATTCAGACGAGGATTAAGAGTCGAGAACGGCACAACGAATCGTCTTCTTTCTCTAATGATTTAATGAAACGTAAAAGCTTCCGCGCTTCGCGCGGGAGGGGGGGGGGGGGGGGGGGGGGACTGAATTCAGACGAGGATTAAGAGTCGAGAACGGCACAACAAATCGTCTTCTTTCTCTCATGATTTATGAAACGTAAAAGCTTCCGCGCTTCGCGCGGGAGGGGAGGGGGGAACTGAATTCAGACGAGGATTAAGAGTCGAGAACGGAACAACGAATCGTCTTCTTTCTCTCATGATTTTATGAAACGTAAAAGCTTTCGCGCTTCGCGCGGGAGGGGAGGGGGGAACTGAATTCAGACGAGGATTAAGAGTCGAGAACGGAACAACGAATCGTCTTCTTTCTCTAATGATTTAATGAAACGTAAAAGCTTCCGCGCTTCGCGCGGGAGGGGGTGGGGGGGGGGGGGACTGAATTCAGACGAGGATTAAGAGTCGAGAACGGAACAACGAATCGTCTTCTTTCTCTAATGATTTAATGAAACGTAAAGCTTCCGCGCTTCGCGCAGGAGGGGGTGGGGGGGGGGGGACTGAATTCAGACGAGGATTAAGAGTCGAGAACGGAACAACGAATCGTCTTCTTTCTCTAATGATTCAATGAAACGTAAAAAGCTTCCGCGCTTCGCGCGGGAGGGGAGGGGGGGGGACTGAATTCAGACGAGGATTAAAAGTCGAGAACTGACAACGAATCGTCTTCTTTCTCTCATGATTTTATGAAACGTAAAAAGCTTCCGCGCTTCGCGCGGGAGGGGGTTTGGGGGGGGGGGGGGACTGAATTCAGACGAGGATTAAGAGTCGAGAACGGCACAACGAATCGTCTTCTTTCTCTAATGATTTAATGAAAACGTAAAAGCTTCCGCGCTTCGCGCGGGAGGGGGGTTGGTGGGGGGGGACTGAATTCAGACGAGGATTAAGAGTCGAG